ACAAACTGACAAAGCAACTGTTGTTTGTAAAGAATAAAAGTACAAAAAATTATCATTATCAGTAGCTATTCATACCCAAGTTCAACACTGACTGTTTAAAAAAAAAAGAATAAATGTATGAATTTACATTATATACCCTGAGCAGTAGCTTACAGAAACCTTCTCAGACAGACTGACCTTATACAGTATGTTAAACATGTTTTGTTGCCTTTTGTCAATGAGTGATATCATTTTTGTTTTCTTCTACTCATCATGAGTGTCTAATTGCAGCACAGTGCTCTATTTTTAAGAGTACAACTTTAAAATTTGTTTTGTTGGTTGTCAAAATTTGTACAGATTATTGTTTTCAAAATGTGTAATCACTTGTAATACCTTTATAAGAAAGTAACATTTAACATTTTCTGATGGTAAAACATGTGTTTACACTGCCTGCCATGTTTACAGGTTGTTGATAAAGGAAGATGTTGTGGGCTAGTTCTTGTCTCTGACAACACAATTTTATACTTATGCTTTTATAAAGTGAAGCACTTTGTTAATATCGGAGTCTTACTTCTGAACTGTCTGAATCTTTGCCAATCTGTCATCTGCCGACTGCTTAAATCGCCCTTTAAAAGCATGATCCTGTGCTTCAAGTGCACATGTGTTCAAATGTTTACATGTGAACATCGCTGAAAATAAGCACATTCTCTTCTTTCACTGATATTTAAAATTAAATACCAAGGCCTTTGTTTGTAATATATTGTAGAATCTGATTGTGTTTATTGATGTTATAATCTCTAAATGGAAGTCCTGTCATATATGTATTGTTCTCTTCTGAAGAATATTGAATAGATCAACACTTCATTTCTGATATATCAAATTTTGTTATTATACAATTGAATTATAACACCTATAAGTGCATTACAACAACAACATACCTGCAGCATATATATATATATATATATATATATATATAAAACAGTTAAAAGGGTGAAATGAACTGTAGCTGTTAAATCCCAATTTGATGACCTATAGCACACCAAATTGAATATAAATATATTTGAAGGATAATAAAATACAAAAATAATCCACCAGTGTCTTCATGTCTAACTTTCCCTTATTCAGGCTCTGTAGTTTTCACTGTGTTTTTTTCCGCTGATCACAGGATTGGCTGTTCAATCCCCTGGCTCCTGTCTGCGTGCCGAAGTGTCCATGGGTAAGACGCTGAACCTTCAGTTGCTCCCGATGGCAGCCACTGGTGTGTGTTTGTATGAATGTGACTTGTAGTGTAAGGCACTTTGAGTGGGTGATAAAATTAGAAAAGTGCCATATAAATGCAGTCCCTTTACCTTTACTAGTCCCCCTCACTAGTTTTTCACTAGAGTTCAAGCACTCCTGCCAGCCGGGCATTCAAATTCATTCACTTACCTTGATTTTTGGTTCTTTTTACACATGCAGTTCTCAGTCACACTTTAACTCACCCTTTTTAGTATTGATGAGCAGTATATAAACATTGAAGAAATGATTTATAACACACTATAATGTAGTTTTGTGAGTAGATCTAAGTGTTTGTCAGCAGCTATAATGGGACCTGTGGGCACCCATGAGTAGAACCTTGTGTACAAACAGATAATGTAAGACAATATAGTAAAACATAGTTGTAATATAATAAAATACGCCATGCAACCATTGATATGGATATCTTGCTGCAATTATTTCAGAATATCCTATAAATTCCTCATTAATTCCAGAGATGTATTGTGTCTGTATGATCAATATTCATGTACAGCTCGTACAAAAATAAGGTATGCACAGATGTAGGTGTGTAGTACTGAATTGCACCAGCTGGGGGTGATGAAACACCTAGTATTCTTCCTGAGGGACATCACCAAACAATTCAATTTCTGACAAACAAAACTGGTTTGTTTCAAATCATACTGGCTCTTTAAACATTAGTTCTTCTCCTCTGATTCTATTTTTTCGCACCAAATGTTGTCAGTCTCTCATGGGATTTATTTTAAACTACATTTCACTGCATAACAGAGCTATCTTAAACAATATTAATCCTTGTTGACCTACAGTATTGGATGTTCATTCAGACGTATTCCTGGCTGTTAACTAGAGCAGCGTGTGGAGAAGACTCGTCAACATCTCTGTGGTTGGAGCTTTTTGTGTGATTCAGCTGAACAGCCAGAGTCCTAATTTCTCCACAACCCCCTATTGTGGCACTAAAACCCCCTCCCCTCCACACAGGTCAGTAGAAAGGTCGCACACGATTCAGGCCGGCCTTTCGGACACTTCTGGGGTCAGTGGGGATGGGCATGTGTGGTAACAGGAAGACACAGGCTTGAGCCAATGGCAGCAGGCATTGGGAAAGTTGGTTCCCCTTTACCCACAACCTTACCAACATTCATAACCTGATAATGACTTTTACTCCATCGATCTGGCCTCAGAGCTTGACCCGAGTTCACATGCAAGCCGACCATCACTCCACCCACAAACTGTGCCATATTGGCAGGTGCTGAAACTGAATTCTTGATTAATTAAACACCCTGGGGAGAGCCCCGCTGACCATGAATGAGGCCAGGCTCTCACTTTCTCACGTTATGTAAGAAAGGACCCTGCATCCTAAACTGAGGCTCTGGTCACTTATTAGGTTATATAGTACAGTACAAGTACTTCAAAGGGAAATTAATCAAACAAATAAGTTATCAATTGTGTGTGACATAGGTTATTTTTGCAGAGGATGTAATTTTAACAGCATGTCTGATGATTTATTATGTTATGATTAATTGGATAATATCTTGAGGCTAATCTTTGAATTAATGTGGGAATTTAGCATTTTGAACCAGTAAATATTAAGATTTGCATATATTTTAACATCTTTTTCTCACATTTCTTTGTGCAGACATTTAATATGGAAGGACACTTGAAACAGTTTTTTAGTTAGGGTAACATTTTAACTGACCAAAGTTATACCTGAGTTACAATTTTAAAACTCACTTCACATCTGTTTCTCCAAAACAAATTCAGAAAGAATATGACACTCCAGTGTCAAGTGAAGAAATCGTGACGATGGCAATGATTTCTCCCACTTTTATTGCCTTTATTCTGAATTGATTTTGGGGAAACAAACATAAAGCTCCCAACTAAAATTTCAATTTAGCTTGAACTACTGAACATTGGAGCCTCTTTTGCAACAGTGATACTTTCCCTTAATATCAATAATATTTCTCTTGCATTTTTCAACATAAACCTTTACTTAAGAGTGCATCCTTTTCTGTGACTGAATCAGCACTTTGCATATTTTTCTTCTCTTTTTTTCTGATTGGCTGGACATCACAGCTGGGCCGCAGTCCTGCTGCTGAATAAAGGTTCATAGAGGGAGGACGGGCGGTGGGTCGTGGGAGGGAAGGGGTTTGATCTCTCTCCACAATAAGTGATGGACATTGGATCAATATCGACATTGACACAGCAGCTGTCCTGCTCCTATCAATGCTTCCTCGTAATTGCAGGGCCCCGTTTTAAAGGACAAGAGACAAACTCATTTCCATTAACCTTTTTTTTTAAGCCTGTAGAGACCATTTGGTGTGCAGTTGGTCTCTGATACTGGGGGATCTGCTCTCATCAATACAGCTTCGGTTGTATTGATAAGGAAAAGTGAAAGGTTCTTGGTGGAGCAAGCAAGAACATTGATTATGGGTCAGTCAGGGTTTTGGTGTCAGGCCCACACTATACAAAAAAAACTGTAGTTATTGATACAAAGCATGCAGTATAAACATTTCAGACAAATTAGATTAAAAAATCTAGGCATGTTAAGGAAAATTGTTAAACTTAAACTTGACATACTTTGTAGTCATAAAAATGGCACGTCGTATGAGATGTGCTCAAATATAATGCAATGCTGACCAAAGAGTGCTACCAGAGTGAAGTAATCAGACCTGGTGCTGGAACACCTTCAGCCAAGGTTAGGTTACAAAACCAGGCAAAGCAGGCAACTCCATATTTACTCCATATCATTTGGGTCTACATAATTTGATTTGTCAGAATTTTGTACCACTGAAGAAGAATATCAACTACGACCACTTCTCCATCTTGTAAATCTGGTATTGAATGGGGACCTGGGTCAAAACCTCAACTGTTTTAGTTTATATTGAGCTAATTTGTTGTAAAGTTGTGAAGTTTTCTGAAATTGCTTCTATTTTTCTGTGTGTCAAATGATAAAAAATGCAGAAAACAGAGGAAAGGTAGAATTATACCTATAGTACTATCATTGGAGAGCTGTACAGCTGCAACCAATAATTGTTTGCATTATCAATGTGTCTGACAGTTATTTTCTTTATTAATTAATTGATTGATGTGTCTAAAATATCAGAATACAGTGAAAAAAGCATATTAACAGATTCAAATTGCTTGTTTTGTCTGACCAATAGTGAAAACCTCAAAAATGTAGAGTTTATTATCCTAAACATTTAGGAAACTGGGGTCAGTTAATTTTTTTATACCATTTTTGCCAAATTATTGCCAATTACTTTTTTGTCAATCATATAGTTGATTTATCAACTAATCATTTCAGCTCTACAATGTATGTTGGTTAAATAATGAAATTGCCATGTACAGTGGGTCAATACTTGTGTATTTTATTTCCCTAATGGAGGATTGTGGATGCAAAACTCGTAATAGATTACTGTTATATAGCTACGTTTATGTAGCTATATTAAGGATTATGTATGTTAAGGATTATATAGTGTGATGCAGAGACTGCCACAACTAAAAGTTGTGTGGAGTCTGTAAGAGCAGAGCAGGATGCATGAGTGTAGGGGGTCTCTCTGCAGCCAGGGGGCGCTGGAGTAAAAGCTTCACTGTGACCTGGAGCTGTGATTAACTGACTGTCCATCCCAGAGGAGGGAAGCTGTCCTCCTGCAGCCCTCTACACCGGTGCTTCTCGTCAGTAGCAGCCCAGCTCATCTGGAGGGAACAACTATGAGAGAGTAGCTAGCATGCACGGACAATTAATGTAAATGGCGCCTTTCACAAGGAAAATATATCAGCGTTTGCTGTTCATTGTCGTTTTTCTTCCAATATCAGGTAAGGAGCATTTTCATTGACTTTTTGTGAAAGAGTGAAAACACTAATTGAATGTCGGGTACATCACTGTGACTGTCCGTCATGTTTGTCTGTGGGATCTTTAACAGGAGCTGACCGTCGGTCTGTAACGTTACGTTTAACTTGTGTAGCTCCTCTGTAACTTAACGGTTGACGGTTAGATTGTCCGAAAGCTACCGAGAAGCAACAAGCCAACATTTAACTATCACCCAGCCGCAAGAGGAATAAACCAGAAAGAGCCTGACCTGAATAACCTGTTTCGACATTTACATTAATAACTCTAATAAATAAACCTGAAGTTAAATTATTAATTTAAACGACACAAAGGGCTAAATGTGACTAAACTGTCCTGTTTTCGCTAATTCAACCGTCAGTCCTCCTAGAAACTTAGCCGGTTTTTCTTCGAACGTTCACCGTCAGCCGTTGTATATAAAAGTTAGTCAGGTTCTAATGTTTTTCAGCAGTGGTTTCACTCACCTCCTTTCATTCTTCATTTTAACCAACTCTAACTCTATTAAAAGATCTTTGTTAACTTTATGGCCAACTATTTAAGTGCAACACTGTTCTAACCTACAACTAAATATAAAGAGATAGTATTAACGATATTAAAAGTGCTGCTAGTGAGGTATTTTTGATAAAGGTCATATTGATGTTTGAAGTGAGTAGTTAGAGCAGAGCAGGCAAGAGTAAGGTGAGTAAAGAGAGTAAAGTATTTTGCTACAGTGTGATTTGGTGATCTTCTAACCAGATTCATACAATTACAGCAGCGTGTCTGTCCAACGAAAACAATCTAATGCATTACCAATACAAAATCAATACATATATCAAACATATAGCTGATGTAGGAGATAAGTGACTCAGGAAAGATGCAGGCTTCATGCATGCCCCCCTCCTTTGATCTGTGAGAAAATCCTTGTTGTAAGATGAAAATATTTGCATAGTTGCAGGTTGTAATGTAATGGCTTTGAAGTAGAAGTGAAGAACCTGCAACATGTTATGTTCTGATATATTACATTATAGCCTTTTAGGAAGGACACACTCTCCAATCAGTCCTCAAAGGTCACATTGTAGAGTTCATGCTGAGAGTTGGGTAATAGGTTTCTCTGTAGACTACAGGGACTAATAGGATCAACTGTTTCACCTTGAGCTAGTGACTTTATGAGCCATAAGTAATTGGATTAAAGTGGAGCAGAAAGACTTTATAAAGCTACAATGTGATTACTGTACAGGACAGTAGACCTGCTGGCACACCTCCAAGCCTCTCAAATGTGATACTTCACTTTAGTAGGACGCTTTAATCCGTGTCACACTTGTATCCATCTGACACTGTGAAAACTGATAATATCCACCTACAGGATATTGAGCTACAGCCTCCAATATGTGTAATTTTCAGAAAAAAAAGCATGCAGTGTAAGTGTAAGTAAATGCTTTAAACTCTTTATTGAACTCCTGGCAGTGCCCTGCTCCTCTGCCCTGACAGAAGGGCCCCCATACAGATAACCACCTTCATTTCTCATGTCCTCCTCTGTCTGTTTTCCCCTCTCTTTCTGCAGGTGTTTTATGCTTTAGTGAGTTATTTTTCATCAAGGAGCCCCGTGATGTCACTGTCATGCGAAAAGAAGCTGTTATTTTGGACTGTCAGGCGCATGGAGAGGCACCCATTGATGTCAGATGGCTCAAGAATGGAGTGAAAGTGGTGGAGAATGAACGGGTGTACCTGCTCTCCAATGGCTCCCTTTATATTTCCGAAGTGGAGAGCAGAAGAGGAGACAAATCAGATGAAGGGTTCTATCAGTGCCTCGCTCAGAACAAGTATGGAGCAATCCTGAGCCAGAAAGCCCGTCTTACAATCGCAAGTGAGTATCATGCTGGAATCACATTGGAAATGTTATAGTGTGGAAGAAGTTAAATCTCTGTAGTGTTGCATGAATGCATGAATCATGCAAAGAGATTTAAACATATAAACATCACTGTTCATTTTATGTATTTGCCTTTTTTTGTTGCTCAGTGTTGCATTCAGTGCAGCTTTGGAAGTGTTAGCAGGAAGAGGGACAAAGTCTTCAAAGTTGGAGCCCAAAAGAAATACTGTTTGGAAGGGGAATATGCCCATTGGTGTGTTAATGAAGGAGCAGGAGATTTGAAAGGTTAGGAGCTGTCCAGGATACCGGCTCTGCAATGCTAAAGAGCAGATGACCCCTATTCACAGGCCAGGGCTTTCATGTTATTGCACCCTGATCGCTTGAGGAATTGTTCTTTTGGAATGCTTTCTCCTCCAGCACTGTGCGAGTTGGCCTCGTATTTTAAAGGGGGAGTAGAGAAGCTTCAGGCAGTGTTAGTCTTTTGGGTCATTATATCCCCTCCTCCTACCCCACAGGCCATGCATCTTGTTGTGAACACTTTTTCAGAATCTATGTTAACCCTTTTACCATGCATGCAATGCATTCCCATCTGTACTAAAACATGCATTTTTAACATTCCAAGCAAAATTTTGAAATTTAATTTTACATTAATTTTAATGACGCAGAAATGAGCTGTTTTGCTTGCCCTGGGTTTATAATCCTTGTTTCAATTTATTTCCATGGTGGAAGATTGTTTTACTTTAAAGTCCATTCCTCCTGCAGTGTGATGCTGATGTTGAGAAGATCCAAGTAGTTGTTGAAATGTGTAACTGTTGACACTCTGAAGATTAACTTAGATGATTTGCTTTATGTAAAATCTATTAATGAACGTTGGGTTACTTAAACTTTATGGACAAATTGAGTGCAGTTAGTGTGAGTTACATAACAACTGGTGATTTTCTTGAAGTTGTACCTGCATGCGATTCACTGTGGTAGACATCCCAGTCGTAACTCAAATATCTTCTGGTACTTAAAAGTATATGTAGTTTTATTAATTAATTGAGTAGTTTACCTGCTTTATAGAAGTTAAGAGGTGATAAAGGCTGCCTGTAAGCTTTACTAGTCTGTTTTAAAATGGCACTTAGACATGCTTGAGGGTCTATCTGGAAGCTCATAAAATTTGCACATACCTGAGAAATGCTCAGTTGAAGGACACAGAGGTAGCAGTGGGGGTTGTTGCGAGTGGTGTGCACACACACATACGTGCACACACACAAATGTGAATTGTCGTTTCCCAGTACCACTGCCTTGCCCTGAGAGTCTGAATGACCAAACTTTATTGCAGGCCTTACCAGGTCAGTAGGGGCTGGAGGCTTTGCACGTAATTGTTTTCTGCCTCACTACTCTGGTGAAAGAGTGAAAAGCTTTTCACTCTAACCGTTTTTGTCCACATTACCCCCCAGTGCTACGTAAGAAAAGGGTTTCTTTGGTGGCCGTTATTTGCCCTGGTGTCAGTGGACGAAACAGCTGGACCTGTTGACCACAGCAAGGCTAATTACATTAATTGTTAAAGTTAAAGAACAGAGGTTGATTCCAAGTTTACATTTCGACTGAAATGTCAGGGTTGCAGTCCTCATGAAACAGCATGATTCTCTTGTATGACCTGCCTGTTGCATCAAAGTCTGCTCAGAGATGTTGGCAATGAGTGTGTCATCTATTTTAAGTTTTTAAGTGGAGAAAGACTGTACATGAAATTGAGTTTATTATGAACATATTCACTGTCACTGTGTCCTGAGGTCTTCTGTCAGGCCCCAGTACCTCCTTTCCCAGGCCATAGAGAGATACCTCTCATCAGCTATGGCACCACTTTCTTCCATATAGTTTAGTTCTTCATAAGATGTGAGTAAAGGTAATGATTGAAGCATGTTTTATACCTGAAGTGCAAGAATCGTACCACTTGTGAGCTTTTCGACCCTATGCTCATATGTTGAAGCTGTGGACCTCCTAGTTCTTCTTTGAGGAATGTGATGGTGATGGAGGGTAACCTGAAACAGTGGGTTGCTAAAGCGCAAAGTTGAGAGGGGATTTAGCCCTGATGAAAAGGTATGTGACACATGAGCCTCATCATGTGACTTTTGTCAATAGACTTGAGATTGATGGGGATTTCAGTAGAGAGATTGCCTCCTGAGTTGGCTCTATTTTTTTTCTCCTTGCATCACGTGACCACACGTACATGAGGCAAATGAGGCATGAGCAAAATGTCAGATTTATTTAGAACTTTCACAGGTATGGTTCAATTGTCGCCCACAAGTTGGTGTAAATTTGTGAATTAGGTGGTGAGAATTTCTCAGAGATGTCAGCATTGCAGTCAGGTTAGTGTCAGACATGTTGATAGGTTAAAAAAAGATATTTGAAAGAGCTGTTGCAGTTCAATTAAAAGGTTTATCTTACCTCACTGCGAGGTCTCAGCCCCCAGCCCTTTCCTGTCATCCTGTGTCCGCCGCATAGTGTCGAAGAAACACTGACTTTTAATGTGAAACTGGTTTATTCTGGGCTTTTACTGGTTATGCTCACCGGGTCTGTTTGATTTGGAGAGGAAGAGACCTCTGGATAATTCAGCTCCCAGTTAAAAACTCCTGAACGACACTGAAGGAATCCAAACTGGGAGAAGCTGATGGTAATGGTGGTGCAGATAACAACTCCCATGATCCCAGGTTACTTCACAGCATCACCACATGCCAGCTTTATTTATTGTTTTGATTGAAACACCCCTAGTGGCAGAAGTTACATACTATGCGTTTAGTGAGACAGCTCAAAGCCTGGAGTCTTGTTTTTCTCCTCTGCTGGACACGAAAGGTTACCATGGTTCCCCTGAACGGCAGGCCTAGAGGTCAAAGGTTTCTTTAGATTGTTCAATAGATGGAGGGCAGTGAGACAGTCTAGTTTTATCAGTTGCCACAACAGTCATCAGTGGTTCTACTTTTGTTTTCATGAACATCTTTCTCTGTTTAATTTGGCGTATTAACACAAATTTAATTTAAATTAAAGTTTTATTTATCTGGCATCAACTTATTTTTCTAATATACCACAACAAAGGATAAAAGTGTTGTTAAAAACAGAATGTAGCTATTTACAGATTGACTTCTTTAACTCCATGTTCTGACCTGGAGATTAAAGACAATGAAGCCACTGTCTGTGGTGAGTGGAGGGTTGCTGATGAATGATTGGAAAACTTTGTAGCAGAGATAAGAGATTGGAGGAGGGGATGAATGCTCCTTCCAACACCACTCCCCCACCACCATGTCAGTGCTTTGAGAGGTCACGCTGCTCATGGGAATAGTTCTTTGTTTAGCCTGGCCAGTGGTCACTTGACTATCCTGCAGCCTGTGTGGAGAAGCAGCACATCTGCCAACCAGCTAGTGATTGATTTTTGGGCTCTTTCAGCTTTGCATTCTTCTCCTTCCTGCTTATCAGCCCTTATTTAGGGCTTTTATTAATCTTCAGTGGGGTCATTTAAGGTTTTAAAGGACTCATCACTCAATTGAATAGCGGTGTCTTTCAGTTGGAGTTGTGGAATGAATAAATGTAAAATAAACTTATTTGGATATTACATACAGGGCACTCTAGTTCACAGGAATAGGACCCATGAGAGGGGTACATGTAAAACTTCAGAGGCTTGTTTCAGTAAGTCAGTGAAGGTTTTTCATGGACCTCCTGATGCTGAAGGCCATCAATTTAACATGCTGCCTGAAGGATCTGGAGAGGATGATCAATTTTAATGTCTACCCTAAAAGATGGGAGCCTGGGGGGTGGGTTGGGCTGGGGATGGTTGGGGGGGCATCATTGCCATCCACATAGCTGAGGAGCTGAACACAAACTGCTTCTGTCATCCACAATGTTGAAGCTATGTCTAGGTGAATATAGTGTCATTGGCAACATTGATGACAACTTTTCTGCTCATTAGAAATTTGAAGAAGGACTTTGGATGTGGGTATTTTTTTTAATTATTCATCTTCAGTGGAAAACAATTTGTCTTATTCCATAATAATACCCTACATTTGGATTTCGCAAGAAAGCACCTACAGTTTCATAAAAATAACCTGTTCCAGCAGTTCAGGGTCACTGAGATTGTATCTGACACAGCACGTTCCCTTACCTGAATAAGAACTACATATTTTGATTATGATATAGAAAGTGCATATTGTTGAGACGTGTAAGATTTGCTTTGGTGAAAACCACTATGACAGGTATGTCTGTGTTTGATGTTGTTTTTTAAATTGAAAGCAGGAACAAGTGTTGTCACGATTAAGAAGACCAAACAAAAAAAAAAAAAGTTTGTTGGAGGTCTTTTTAATATCCCTTTTTAAGTTTAGAATGGAAAAAAACATATAGGTATATATAGGTGCTCTGGCTGAGAAACTGATCACAGTAACCAGAGGAGAGAGGGCTGAACTAATTCCTGGTATGTGTAAGGGAGCCTTTGTTTGGGCCTGACCTGTCCACTGACCTTTAGTTTGTTGAGGTGCTGGCTTCAGCAGGCCCATCTGTTGCAAGCTGAAGGGAAGAAAACACAGTTTTGCTTTTCAGGTTCAGTTTGGACCATAGGGAGAACATACTGTAATAAACCAAGATGGCATATGGACAGGCTCATGTTTGTATCTCCAACTTTGAATTTGGAACTCTGGACAATCCTCTTACTTTAAGTCAGGCACGCAGTTAGTTTTAACATTGTGATTCAACACGGCACAACTTTTGCGTATTAAACTTATGCTGATTTTAAAAGAGAAAAAAGACTCCTGTGCTGAGGCAGCTTTTAAATTCATCGTAATATTTTAGCTGTGGTGTAATGTCTTGCAGCAGCTGGACTACATGTGTTGTTGTATTTGTTGTAGTAGCAGCTACTGGCAGATGTCATTGATACAGCAGAAAAGGATATTATTACAAAACAGCATTTAAAAACTTTCGCAGCTGGAGAGTGATGTGAGAGATTGTTAGGCAGTTTGCGGAACAGCAGTGCTCATTTTGTGTGGCCATGCACGGCTCTGCCTGAGTTGGGTGCTAGCCAGGATTTGTGGAGGTCAGAGGTCAGAGGTTAGATTGCTGGGAAGGGCAGATGGTCAGAACTGTTTCTTCATGCTTTTGGGGAATAGGCAGAGGTATTTACTCTGAGTCTGAGTTTGCCAAAATGCTATGGCAAACAAGACCAACGGTTTCATACTTATATATTTTGATATAGTAAAGGAATTGGAAAACACATACTTTCTGTGAAAGTTAAAAAGACTTTCCTTTACTAACACACAGAATAGATGGCCAAATGAGTAAATACATATAATTAAAGTGAATCACAAAGAGCTTGATGTGTTTGCTTTGATTATTTCAGCTGCTCATTAGATGCTCCTCGGCAAACATCATCGCACAAAGCAGAAGGTCAGCCTCCCATTTTTCAATTGGGAGTGCTCTGTCCAATGCCCGACAAACCCTTGCAGTTATAGATTTTCCACCTTGTCTTAGTAGTTTATCAATAATTAATGATTATCCTGCTGTTTGTCAATCCAGCATCATTTGACTGAATGGAAAGGCAAAGTAGGGAGGCAGAGGATCAGTGAAGCACATCTCTCATGCCCTGCAGTCATATCACTTCAGGACACTAATGGCATTTTTGTAAAAGTCTGCGTTAAAATGGGGAGGGGGAGGGGCCTCTATTCACTTCTGTCTTCACATCAAACACCCACAGTGGAGCTAAGAGTGCTAACTGCTCAGAGTAAATTTGATTGAATGTGACCATGGTGAAAAGAGCTGATCATAACAAAAGTTTGTCCAACAAGAACAATATTAAACACATAGACAGGATTTCCCTTAATACTTTGGAGAAAAAGTAATAAAAGTCATAATTCACTGAATGTCAGTCAGAGCTCTACTGCTGTTTCACACCAGAACACCTGGCAACATTGTCTACACACAGTCATCCATAATGGCCCTGATAGACACTACTGTGTATTTATGACAGGGATTTTCTCGGAAGCAAAGGTTACCACGGCATCGTGTTGAATCTCTCTGTGGAAAAATATACGGATAAGGATGTTCATATCCAATTCAGTACAAAGATTTAGAGTTGGCAATGTGCAAGTTATAGACAAAGTTTATGTTTGTTTCATGTTGAATTGCTCAGGAAATAGTCAATTAGGTTTTCTTTTATCCACATTGAAGTGTTACACATATATATCTCTATTTGTTGGTTGCATACAGCATATTCAAAAAATTGAAGCAGAACAGAAGCATTTTGGATGGTTTTTGATGTTTTTCTTACAGACGTACAGTAGTGTTAATTTGATACCCTGCTTCCTGCTCCTTTCTGTTTCTTCTTTGAGTGCTGATGACTCACTGCAGCAGAGGAAACTCTGGCTGTGAGCACAGAGGCTAAAGAGCATCACAGTGTGTTTGTTTATCCATTACTTAAGAGGTGATAGTTTCATCCTGAAAGCAGGCATCTTGAAACAGGCCTTCTGAAATTAGAAATAATTTGGTCGAATACAAAGTTATCAACAAACTTTATTTTTTCTATTGATTTGTCCATATCTGTTCCTGAATGATTTGATGTATTTGTGGTAATGAATTTTATGTTAGCATGCTGTGATTCTCAGTGTTTTGTTTTTTTTGGTGCTGTCAGTATTTGCTCTCTATCAGAACGGCAGTGCAATTGATTTCTTTTAACAAATGATTGATCTCAGGCTTCTGCAGCTTTTTTAGCACAGAGGGGGATGGGACAGCAGTGTGTGACCTTAATGGCTTTTAGGACTTTTATGGCCCAAGAGGAACCACTGTCAAAGGGGGCATTTATTCACAAAAAGAGCTAAAACAACTTAAATCATTATAAAATGCATACACTTCTGTTGACTGTTTGGTTCACTCTAAAAGACTTTATTGTAATTCACGTCGGGCCTCATTTACTTGCTGCTCAGCTGGTGGCTGACAACAGCTCCGTTTCAGGGAAACCCTATCCACGCAGGATGTAGCTGTTCCACTCCAATCATCACCTTCCTGCAACACTCAGTAGGTCTGCAGCTTTAGGTAATAGGGATCTCTGTTTTCTGATGTCCACTGGATCTGACTGAGATGAATGGATGTTTGAAATAGATCAATATGTTTGGAAAGGGGGGGGCAATTCAGAAATAGCATCTGTAAAAAGAGATTTTATACCAATATTTTTTTTTTTTTTTTAAATCTATCTTTATATTGATAATGATTCGAATCCTTAATTATATTTCTTGCTGATTTAAGAGCTTCTTCCTAAACCTGACTTTGTGGGCAGTTTGGTAGGGCTTCTTACTGATTTCATTGTTGGCTTGGACTTCATGCCATGAAAATGCTGTAGTATTATGTTAAAGCACGGTTTGAGACAACAAATGGAGTGAAATGCAACACCGGCTTTCCCAACAAAGAAACACCTCAAGGCAAAGGAGTTTCCTTTGACATTATCTTTAAAAAAACAACATGTTAGGGATAAAAACATGAACACTCTCTTGGTTGTAGGGAAGAATTACCTACAAACTTAATGTGTTAGTAGAAGCTGTATATCTGGGCCAATACTCCCCTTATTGCTTTTTGACAAATGTTCAACCTCAGTATGGTGTTGAAAAGGTGTTAACATGTTAATTAGTTTTATTAATTGATTAATCATTTAATCTATGAATAAAAGCCTAATACAATCACACAGAGCCCAAGTTGTTAAATGACTTATTTTGTCTGACCAACTGTCCAATCCAAATATACACAGTTTACAATGATGTATGACCAAGAAAAGACAGGGAGTAAATTCTCGCAATTGAGAAGCTGTAATCAGCAAATGTTTGACATTTTTGCTTGAGAAATGAGTGAAGCGATTAATCACTTATCTAAATAGTTGCCAACAACTATTTAGCCAACCAAATAATCAATGAATTGACTAATTGTGTCAGTTCTACATGTGTTTATTGGGATTTATTGGGAGACAGTATAGCGCCACACTATTAGATAGAAAAAAGGCTTTTTACAAATGTATTCCAGTTTGTCAAACATTTCTGCATACATAAGAATTCTTTAATTTAAATGGTCTGTTTTGTTGTTCTGTTTTGCTGCAGGTATCTTCTCTTTTGCAATCCAGCCGACATCCATAGTGGTAACTGAAGGCTCAGTCGCCAGGTTTTCCTGCAAAATCAGTGCCCACCCTCCTCCCATAATCACTTGGGAGCTCAATCGAGTCACATTACCCCTCACCACTGAAAGGTATGCACTCTGTCGTTTTCATTTTAACTTCACGGTATTCATTTTTTATAGTCTTACTCTTCAGCAGATTTTTTTCAAAGCCGGACATGAAAAAAAATTCTGTAACCACTCTTAGCCATCATCAGTCATATTTGATGCGTAATAGCTCAATATTGTAAGTGATAAAGGCTGCATCTATCATCCAGAATCACAGTCCTGCCCAGTGGTGTCCTTCAGATACATGGAGTGCAGCGAGCGGATGCTGGAAATTACCGATGCATCGCCACCAACATTGCCAGTCGCCGCCGAAGCACGGAGGCCACCCTCACTGTCACCCCAGGTATGACACCTAGCTCTCTTTTGATAAATGTATTCTATAAAGGGCATCAGTAGACAGTTTGGTAGTCTATCACAAAGGAGAAATTGTGTTTCATGAATATGATTACCTAAATCTAGGCAAAGGGAATATGTGATGGGATGAGTGTTGTATAATTTATTTTATGAGAGAATTTTTGAAAGGTATAACCATATTAAATAAAGATCATGTTGAATCTACAAAACCATATGCACTAAAGCTGTTCCTCTTTCCTCCCTGTCTTTCTCTCTCTCTGCAGCTCCCAGCCCCCAGCTTCCCCAGAGGCCACGCATCATCGCTGGGCCACAGAACATTTCAGTGTCGCTGCACCAGAGTGCCATCCTGGAGTGCATGGCCACAGGCAAACCCCGACCCATCATCTCCTGGAGCCGAGCGGACAGCAAGTCCATTGATGTTTACAACACCAAAGTGTTGGGAAATGGCAACCTCATTATCACAGACATCAAGCCTCAGCATGGAGGAGTCTATATGTGCAGAGCCACCACTCCTGGCACACGAAACTACACTGTTGCCTCAGCCAATGTCACTGTTTTAGGTAGAGATATTCAGTATACAGAAGTTTGGCTTTGATAATTGATAATTCAAAAGTTTCATATATGTATATATTTCTCACTGATGTTGTTCTTCCAAAGCACCACCCTCCTTGGTGGAGTGGCCGGAAAGCCTGACGCGTCCCCGTGCTGGCACTGCCCGCTTTGTGTGCCAAGCTGAAGGAGTTCCAACACCTCAAATCACTTGGCTCAAGAACGGAGAGAAAGTTCACTCCAATGGTCGAATCAAGATGTACAACAGGTATCTCTCTCTCCATTTAAAGGATGAATCCTGTGATCAAATAAATTCCTTTTCTGAGATGTCAAATGTATTTGCTTTGCATGCACAGAGATAATGAACAGGAACTCTAACTCCTTTAAGCATGAGACACTATTGAGGCACTTATTTAACAGTCATTGTTGACCAATTGAAAACAATCTGAATAAATAATTCACTACTTTCCCTGTAGTAGAAAGGAAACTGAATAATTTAAAGCAGTGCAAATGGGGTTTTAGTTGGTTTCCTTATAATGTGCTCCCTTTTCGACTTCCATTGCTTGCTAAAGTTAATTATAGAATGACTACACAGGAGCCTCAGGATGATGCCATCTGCATATATACTCATCATCTGTGTTTATGCGTGTCATTCAGCAAACTGGTGATCAACCAGATCATCCCTGAGGACGATGCCATCTATCAGTGCCAGGCAGAGAACGAGCAAGGATCAGTCATATCCATGGCGAGGCTCATTGTGGTGATGTCAGAGGACCGGCCAAGTGCACCCAGGAATATCCAAGCTGACACAGTGTCGAGCTCTGCCATCCTCCTGGCCTGGGAGAGGCCTCTGTATAACTCAGATAAAGTTATTGCTTACTCAGTGCACTACATGAAGGCTGAAGGTGAGTCATCTGTAAACAAACAAGGAAGCATTTTTGCACCACAAGGACAAAAAGGGAGGAAGGAAACTGTTCATACATTAAGACATTTAACGTTTATGATCTTTACAGCTTCAGGAAACAGCAGTTCAGGATTTTAGATTTTGCCTTTTACAGATGTCATGTCTTAGCTTGTACTTCTAATGTGCTGTAGTGTTATGTAAGAGCAAGGTTTGAAACAACAAATGGAGCAAAATACAAAACTGGCTTTCACAACAAAGAAACACTTCAAGGGAAAAGAAAACATGAATACTCTCTTGGGTGTAGGGAAGAATTCCTTACAAATTTTGTAAAACTTAATACGTTAAGACATTTTATTTTCATGATCTTTATAGCCTCAAGCAACAGCAATTCAGGAACTAAAATGTTGCCTCTTCCTGTCTACAAAGTATAATGTCAGAGCTAACCATGTGTTGTCAATGCTATGTTGGTGGGCAAAGGTAAAAAAAAAATGGAGCACTCCTCCTAAATGAAGTAGAACAACGGCTTTTTCTGGACAAACGGGAGTTAGTCATCTATAGACCATAGCCCTGGAGTTTCAAGATGCAGGGTCCCTTCCTTTTGGCTGATAAAATGCAGGATGCAGACAGAACTATTCACAAAAAGCACAACGGTTGCAGTGTGGCAGCAGAAAAGCCTGGAAGCCTTTCAGCTTTCCTGGGAACTCTTGCTGCTGAGAGAGAAGAGTCACATTCAAACAATACAACATTTCAGAAAAAACTTGAGCTTGTTCATTCAAGCACTGCACTTAATTATAATGCCACTGACTTCCATTGGGGGGGTGGGACATACAGAATTCACCTAGTAAAAAAGAAACACCTGCTGGATTTTGTTGGGGATAAGGAGGTCAAAATAAAAGGAACAAGCTGAACAAATTCTGTCTGTTTTATTCTTGAATAACTCGAATCTTTCAAGGATTTTCTGCACTTGATTTAGATTTAGTGACACAATCTCCTTGGCTGTTCATTGACATTGACAGAGTATCACATTGTCAGCTCTGCACCTGAGGTTGCAGACAGAGAGGCTTGGCACTAAATGGAGGCTCTAACGAAAGGAAGAACTAATTAGTCTGTGTGATGGAGTGTCCAAAAGAGTGCATTGTGTGAGGGCAGTGGGAGATTGTGAATTAGACAGGAACGCAGACTTTGTTAGACTTTTGAGGGAGGCTTACTGACGCATTCAGACTGTGGAGAATGCTTTTTTGTTTACTTTCAAGTACCTTGTTTACCAGGTCAAAAATCACACCAGGTAGTTTTTTTCCTCCTCGGGGTACAAAAACATCTTTTGTGTGACATGGAGATGAATGTCAGTTTGTTTCACCAAATGGCTGTGTTTCAGAATAAGATAAAGTATATGGACCATCGTCTTATTTTGTTATTAACATGATAAGAATGGATACAAACTGTATCTCCACAGGTGGTAAGACTGTGCACTTATTCATTTATGAAAACACAGAGACTAAAAGGTGTGCTATATAGCAACAACATAAGCCTTTGCCAGATTTTTACACGTTTTTTGTTGACTGCATAATGGGTAGGATTATGTGATCCCTGTTTATGTTTTTACATTACAAAACCTGAAATGTTGCTTAAATATGCTGTAATTTATCTAAATGAATGTGTAAAATTCAAATACAAAAAATTGTTTTATCACAAGACAGGACAATTTCCTTTTTAGAAGAAAAATAGCTTCTCATCCAGAAGTACTATTCACTTGATTGACATTGATAAGAAGTTGTAATTATTTCAATTCTTTTTACAATGTTGTCATTCGTCCAGGATTGAACAATGAGGAATATCAAGTTGTCATTGGAAACGATACAACTCGCTACATTATTGATGACCTCGAGCCAGCTCGCAACTACACCTTCTATGTTGTTGCCTACATGCCCATGGGAGCCAGTCGTATGTCGGACCACGTGTTCCAGCACACGCTCGAAGATGGTGAGGCATAGACGAGATCATAGACAATAAAGTCGATCCCACAGTAAATATGAAATCAAAAAATGGGGAGGGAGTGGAGTAATTGACCTTCTAAGTCTGTTAGACTCTGTTATTCCAGTGGGACCTCAGAGACTGTTTGTTTATGAGATATTTCAACTGCAGTGAATTAGCTTTGTTGTTGACATAAGAAACAATCAAATCATTTGTATGCAGAGTGTGTGTGTGTGTGTGTGTGTGTGTGTGTGTGTGTGTGTGTGTGTGTGTGTGTGTGTGTGTGTGTGTGTGTGTGTGTGTGTGTGTGTGTGTCTCTATGTTTCTATGTACACTGTATATATTTGAGCCATATACGATGTATGTATATATATATATATATCGATATCTGTATGTCCCATGCCCCTGGAGTGTTTTTGAACTCCTGGCAAACCTCATTTGTTCATAGTCTTGGCCTGTGGGTCAAAGGCTGCCATGTGTTTGTTCTATATGACTGAAATTATTAAATGATATTACATAGACATCAATGTCAGTTTACGTTCAGGTGGAATGAAATCCTGTATCATTTTATATTGCAATATCACAATACTATACATTTCCTGGAAAATAGATTGAAAAGCTGTTTGTGGATTAAATAACCACACAGGAATGTCTGTTTTGGCTACTCTGTCAAATTCAATACTTGATAGGTCAAGGTAATTTTTCATATTGATTCAAATATGCCATCAAATAGTGTTGCTCATGGATTTCCAACACCGCCCATAATGGCCTAATACAACAAGACATATTCATGGAACTGGTAGGGTATAGGTATAAGTCATTGACAAAATGATATTCACTTTTTATAGCTTCTCATCGCTAAGCCCTTGTTTGTATCTTCCTCTTCTCCTCACGACTGGCAGTATGTTACAAATCTGACATTTTTCATGTATTAACTCTATCTCACCAATCTGGTGGGTCGTCATCTTAGTTTTACTGCATGATTAAGGATTTCTTTCAGTCTTAACCTTCCTGTTTTGTTTGTCCACAGTTCCCATCCGCGCCCCTGAGCTCAGCCTCACCAGCCATAGCCCCACAGACATCCAGGTTTCTTGGCAGCCTCTCCCAGACAAGCTGAGTCGCGGCCGAGTGTCTGGCTATCGTTTGTCCTATCGCACCAGTGCTGAGAGTACAGTCTCACAGATAGAGCTACCTGGAGAGAAGACAAATCATCTCCTGGAAGACCTGCAGCCTGACACCATCTACCTTTTGCGTATTGTTGCTGCCACCAGTGTAGGGTGGGGTGAGCAGTCTGCCTGGACGTCTCACCGCACTCCGAAGGCATCCAGTGCTCGAGGTACAACATTAGGAAGAGTTGTCTTCATGATTTCTGAAATTGCAGTGTGTAACTACAAATATGAAATCAAAATTTTGTGATTTTAAGAATTTCAAATGTGCAGGCACATTGAAAAATTATTAACATCTACACATAAAGGAAGTTGACACAAAAAGCAGAATTATCACTGAACTCTACCATGGGTCAGAGCAAAGAGGAGCGCTTGCTCTAATAATCTTGTTAAGGCATTGCGTTTGTTACTCTGTGACCTTTGCTCTCCACTGTCAGTAACACTGGAAGGGTTTCAGTCATGGGTCATAAAGGGAGCGACTCAGGCCTCCGGGTGGGAAAGAGTATATGGCTGTTTAGAGCTACATCTGAAGCTTTGAGACGGGAGGAGGGGAGGATTCGTTTTTCCTTCCCATTTCTATTTCCCCCTGTCTCCAGTTTAAACTCACACAGGAATCTTCTGTTGGTAAACTTCATTGTCCTCATTCCTTAAATAAAAATGTGTGAAATCACTCCCTTGACTGTTAGTGTGGTTGTCTTTGGTCTGTACTGAGTGTGAAACAGCTGGTGAGGCATCAGATGGTAGTTTCACTTTTCAAAGAAAAAGCTGGCCAGGAACCTCCTCTGTCCATCACATAAACACTTGAAACAGCCTAGAAGACAGTTTCCAGTTTTCTAAGAACAAGGATTGTCTTTGATGTCTTGTTTGCTTTAAACAAAATTCAGGGAATATTAAGATAGTTTGCTGTGGCACAGTAGGAAAATGGAAAGCATGTCAGCAGCACGATTTATTTTCACTCACAGAGTAATATTTTGATCACATGGATGTTTATCTAGAGTGTTTTTGTAATCATGAAACTGAAAAGACTCAGGATTGTAAATCCATCAAAATGTTTTTCTTAATCTTTTCTCTACAGTTCCTCTGGCTCCCGAGCTACATTTGGAGCCTTTAAACTGCACCACTATTTTGGTGTCCTGGAAGTTGGCACCCAGAAACTCAGCTGGTGTGCAAGGCTACAGACTTTTTTACCATGAGGAGAGCCAGCCTGAGAACGCCCCGGTTCAGCTGCGTGCTTCAGATAATAGACACACCATTGGAGGCCTTGGTGAGTTTTGTTTTACCTCATTTGAGTAACCTCCTACCCTTGTGGTATGCAGGACATTCTACATATCATTTTCATGGTTTTCTCGTGAAAACCGTCACTCAGCAACACACAACAGAGGCTTCATATTAACAACACAAGTTTCTGATCTCATGAAATTTTGAGGCAAGACTTTTCCGAAGGTTTTTAATTGAAACCTGCATGTTTTAACAGTCAATTAAATTAATCAAGTTCAAAAGGTCTTTAGTGTATTAGTTCATGGTGGACAAATGTGGTTAAAAGCAGCAGCATCAATTGACATTCAAGCTTATGAGGGATGAATTGGCTTAATTCTTGTCATGTGTCGAGCAGAGATTCACGAAGCGTGGAACAGAACAGCACCACATCCCACTTCCATGACCTCCCAACCTCTGTTAGGGGTTCTAGTGTGTGTGTGTGTGTGTCTTTTCAGCAGCTGCTGGTGGAGTTTGGGGCATATCACAGCTCTTCTGGCCTTTAGGTCAGATTCATTTTGGCTTTTTTGTTTGAGAGAGGAGAGGGGGCTCAGGCCAATGCAGTGGACAACTGACCATCTGTGGCCAAAGGGGGTCAACCAGGTGGTCAGCAGCTGACTTGTAAATCAGGAAGCTCAATGCTAGAACAGGATCAGAAAGAGAGAAAGAAAGACGAGGAGGAACTATAAATTACTATAGGTGTTAACTCTAACTCCTGCAGGCATTTAGTTAGTTAGATATTTAGTTCAATGGTTTAAGCAGTACTAGGATCAGTGCTGAGCCACAATGCACCTACTATGAAACCAACAACTCCTATTTCTACTAATAATGCTGACACTAATTATAATCAGTTTTTTATTCATTAAATTTACTCCATATTATTTAATTTTATTGGCATAATGGTCGTATTGATGTGTATAATGTGGAGGAGCCTTAGCAGTTCTTAAAAGTCACCTTAATGTTTTTTTTTTTTTGAAAGCTTCTTGCTTAATCAGATCACTCTGAATATTGAATAAATGTGGGAAGAGGAGGAAGCTGCAATCACAGCTGATGATAAATATTAAGGTAATCAGCAAGATTAGCATCAAACCTCAAAAATAAAGCTTTAGCTGAATAAAAAGAATGATCTTTTTGTTCCTCTTTGATAAAGGAGCTTTGCAGGGCAGTGTTTTGAAGAGAGGAAAGCTGTTTTGTGGAGGCTGATTTACTATGTGTTTTATGACTGCTTTGAGCAGTGTTCCTGGAGGAGCATTGACATCAAAGACTCTCATTGTGTTTGGCTTTGAGAGCCACAAAGATAGTTTATTAGCCAAGACTTTAAGGAAATGCAGCTTTCACCAACTGAGTTGTACACCAAACAATGAGCTTGTCTTGTGAGCTCACTATCTTGCAGCTCTGAGATTTCATTCTCATGAATTAGCTGCAGCACTGTGTTTGAGGAGAGAGGTGCAAAGTGAAGCATCTGACCTGTGTGGCAACACATCCTGCAGCAGAGAAAGCCCTGCTGTGCTGTGAGGAATCTGACTAAATGGTTTTGGTTTTTTACCAATTATTACTTCCTTCTTCAAGACATTACTTTTTGACATTATTATAGCTGCACCATTAATTGAAGGCAATAAAATCTATTGATGTAGCACAATTCATATAAGAGGCAATTGCACTTTAAATTTAGATTTTAAAAGGAACTGAAAGCAAACTCTTAAAAACTGAATACAAGAAATTTAAACAGGTATACAAATTTAGAGGCAATCCTGATATAAATCCATGCTAAATGCTAAAAGCTAATCTGATAGGTGTCTGTTGTACTGTAACAGTGGCATGGCATTAGTGAGCAGAACAAGGTAACCCTGTGAGGATATTTTCACAGATTTTTTAAATTTCTGTTCATGCATAAGAAAATATTGCATAGGAAAATATTTTGGTCTTCCCTCCTACTATGAGAGAACATTACACTTTTCTGTTTTTGACAAATTACTTCTGAGGTATTATTTGCAATATTTTTAACTGTATGTTGAAAATATGAAGCAACGGATGTCCCACATTCACTCAGTCTACATTTCGTGTCCTCAAGACTACCAAATGCTGAATGTTGATTTTTCTCAGCAGGTGATCTTTGCAAATTAAATCTGTTTGTACTGTAAATGGCATGCCCTATAATTGCTGATATGTTGTACACAGCAGCCATCCCTTTTTTGCCAATAACATTGATTTCTGAACTATCAGCTGTGGCAAAACTGGATACTGTTGATTCAGCTCTGTGTATAGCTGCAGAAGGACATGCTCTGAGCTGGCAGTTAAATTATCACTTCTGATGATCCAAATGATTGAAAGCACACCCTGAGAGACAGGAATGTGTGTGAGGGGCTCCAGTTGGGTATAAATGACACAGAGATGTGACCTTCCCTTGCATGTGTATTCTCTGCATGGCCCATGAGAAGAACATGTTGTCATAGTCGAGGTTTAAATACCTCTCATACCTGTTGGCACCAGGCAGAGCAGTGTGAACAACTGTAGATTTATCTACAGTTGTGCTGACGACATTTTAAAAGGTCATTTTTGCTTAACTTGTGTGTGTGTGTGTGTGTGTGTGTGTGTGTGTGTGTGTGTGTGTGTGTGTGTGTGTGTGTGTGTCTGTGTGTGTCTGTGTGTGTTGATTTGTGTGACTAAGGGCAAAAGAGAGAGAGAGGGGGAGGAGAGAGAGAGATGATAGATGCTGGTGTGAGGGTTCATACAGGAGTTGACATTTATGGCCCCTGTTCAGGCCTGGTTTGCTGCAGCCTGGGGGGCCTTTTGCAAGGCTGAACAAAACCTCAGAGGCCAACAGGATCTGCATTTTGGATGTAAAAAAAAAGGGGTCACCACAAATGGCTCAAATATGCCTTTTAATACCAACAGCATTATTTATGGGAATAAGGCTATGTGAGATTTATCTCAGTTGGAAGGACAGGAAATGTCTTCACTCAAGGAATAGCATCTAAAGCAGAATGCAGCAGTCTAAGAATATAATGTGTCCTAATGCATTTATGTTTTGTAACTTTATTTCCAATGCTATAACAATTATCTGATTAATTGACAATTAATTGGCAGCAATTTTGATGGTCAATTAATCATTTCAGTCAAACCAAAAATGCCAAATATTAGTATTTCCAGATTCTTAAATGTGAGGATGTGCTGCTGTTGTCTGTTTTATATCATTGTAAAATCAATATAATTTTGTTTGGGACTGGAGGATAAGAAAAGACATTAACGTTAACTTAGGCTCTGAGAATTCTAAGTCTCTTTAAAGTAGTGTATGTTCTGGATGGATAAGTAATATTCTGGTTGTTTCTGGTTGTTTCTCATTTTGCTGTTGTTTGTGTACACCACAGGAGCTTCAGGTGTCTGCTTCACTGTGGGTGAAAAACAAACTTGTCCACTGAGTTGTCTCTTATCAGGACACTGTGTCACCACCTACTAAGTGGCATTTTATTTTGACTCTTGGTGTTTCCCTGTTTTTCCACTCACTTCCTCTGCTTGACCCTCCCCCTTTAGAGAGAGCCCTGCAACCCCTCCTTTTGCAGGATTTAGCTTGCCAAGATTCCATGTCAAAGGTCGTGGCCCAGATGTCACAGCTTCCCCCCTCACAGAGCTCGTCTCTCGCATAATTACGGCAGACCCATTGTATTGTGGGGCTGTGTAGAGGTGCATAGTACATGCCTGCTCCTCTTTAGAGGTGGACAGGCTTAACACACTGCGCAGAAACTTTGGATAACAAGGTGCACTTTGTACAAAATTTGCCGACCTTGTGGTTTTATTTATCTGTTGCAAAGAAGATGTAAACAAAAAGTTCCTTGTTTCCGTGCTGATCATCTCTCTGGTCATGGTAAACATTTATCTAAAGAATTCTGCCAGCAGCTCATGATTAGTGTGTTAGTATTTTGCTTACTCTTAACTGTCATTGCAAAGAGATGTTTAGATGCAGGCAATGAGAATCCATATGCAGAAAAAGAGGCTCATCTCATATTCTACACCCATGACCCCAGATTCTTTTAGTTTTATCTCAGCCTGACCTGCTGGCCTGGGTCTGGCTCCAGTGAAACTCCTCAGGGCTGCATGGGGGTGGAAGTAGCTCAACTTAACCCCCCCCCCCCCCCCCCCCCAAACTTCTCTAACCTCCATGGACACAGATTCATCTCCTGTGGTCTCCCTCTTCTCTCGACCCCCTAAATGTCTCATACTTCACTAGAAGTTGGTTTGTTTTCTGCAGGACAGATCGAATTATGATACTAGTAATAGGCTCAAGATAGACTTGTGTTAATTTGTTCATGTTTGAGCTATATTTCTGTAAGTGTTCCCATAACCAACATGTCTGCAAAAATTGTGCCGGACTGACATCTATAGTCCAGCATTTTGCCAGTTAACAGTTAATATTCACTGACTAAGCAGAAACAGTTGAGAAGTAACACTCATAATAACTTTTAATGAAACACTGTAACAAGAATGGAAGGTGGTACCACTGACACCTATTTAAAATTCTCTGACTGACTAACTTTCACATCAGAAAATACATTACTTGTTACATGTTGTCAAGACAATATGCTTATTTTACTGGCTGTAAGAGTCGGCAGATATGATTCACAATATTGATATTGCATGCAACATTTAAATTGGACCCTGATCATTATTCTTTTAAGGGTAAAAGGGACATTTGGTCAGATGGCTTTTGTTCAGGAGGGTCTTCAGGGTCACTGAGGCCTGCAACTGCTGTTGACCATCAGCAATGTCCTTCCCAGGGGATTTTGTCCGTCGATTTAACCCCCAGATTGTGGACCTAAATAGGAGTGGCCACTGACCACTAAACAGCAGGCCGGACTGGGCCTGGAGAAAGGTCCTTTTTATTTGCACTGAAAAGACTCAGTGACAGGGTGATGGATAGTAGAGCTCTTGTGTTCTGCTGCCCTGAGTGCTGCAGAAACTGACCAAAGGACTCACGACGCTGAGCATCTGTCACACTGCCTCACCTCTCGTTCCCACCACATCATCAAACTAAAAAAACCTCGCTGACCCCACACCTACACAGTCCAGCTCGCCCTCATGTAGCACCCCTGCTTCCTGTTGGCTGTAGGAATCACATTGTCATCTGGCACCGTGTTACAACCTGTGTTGAATTATTACACCGAATTCAGAGTGATGGTGAGAATAAATCTCTATGCAAGTTACCTGAAGTCCAGATTCTGAGAGTCCACATAGACTGATGTATTTGGAAGCATGAAGTTTGACTTGTTTGTGTTTCATATTTTTACGATGCGATTTATTTATACATTTTGGTTTCTCTCTTTTTCTTAATGAAGACCCAAGGAAGAAGTACCACGTTAAACTTCTGGCTTACAATTTCATCGGAGATGGCTACCAGGCTGACCAGACTATCAGCACCCCTGGATGTGTCTGTAAGTCCCACAATATACTTGAAAAGAAGGTTCTTCAGTGTGCCTGCATCATGATGGTGTCACTTGTATTTGCTATAAATACCATTATTCTCGATGTTTCTCAGCTGTTCGAGATCGCCTTGTGCCCCCTCCACCACCTCCACACAATGTGTACACCAAGACTAACAGTTCAACTGCCGTGTTTTTGCACTGGGGCCGACCAGCCTTCACCTCCAGCCATGCGATCAACTACACCGTCCGCTGCAACCCAGTGGGCCTGCAGAACGCCTCCCTCGTGCTCTACCTGCAGACGTGAGAATTTCTTCTTAATACATGGCTAATATTCATTTAAAGCAGCATTAATCTGTTCTCTTGGCCACCTGATGGCAGAACACATAGAGCTGAACATCACTTATATGTTTGATATATTATGGCCTAATAAAGTTATGTTTAATATGTTAGCCTATCTATAGCCTATTGTTAATTGTTTCTGGTCACCTGATGAACTTTTATATTGAATAGTGCATCTTAAATAAACTTATGGAGGCTATTGTTTCCTGTCTGGAGAGGATGGTGTCAGGGAAAGTGAAACTAGATGTATAACACATGCAGCTGTGTGTTTTGTATGGCTAACTGCATAATGGCTTGATGCTCATGCTATGTATGAGACCTTATCTTAACACAATGTTCTGTTATTGACAGTAATGTGACATTTCAGCAGTAGTTCATTATGACAGCCAAATCACATCACCTGAAGTGTTTCTTTACAACAAACACTTGTTGGGGGCTAAGTTTGCAGGTCACCAGTATCTCTATGTTGTCTCCCCACTCTCACTGCCAGCACAGCTCCATATCGCCATCTGTTGGCCATTATTGAAGGGGCAGTTCACCCCAAAACCCAAGTAAATGTAAGATGAGCAGAGGAAAGTCACAAGTGGCCTCATCGTAATATTTTAAAACAGACATGTCTGCTGAAGTTTCTTTGGTCTAAATGCCTAAATTAAGTGCATTTTATCAGTATGACCTGCACAATCAGCATCTCTAAACCTCAGCAAATCACACTGAACAAACAGACATGTCCTTAAGTCGTCCGTTATGTCTATTCTGCAGGAGTGAGCAGAGCCTCCTGGTGCGGGATCTGGAGCCAAACACCAAGTATGAATTTGCTATTCGTCTTCACATTGATCAGCTGTCCAGCCCCTGGAGCCCTGTGGTCTATCAGAGCACTTTCCCTGAAGGTGAGCACAAAAACATTTTAATATAATTTACTGTATATACTCTATATGAAGTGTACCAAACAGTAAGACATTTTTAATGTGATTAAGAGATGTTGCACTACACATGGTGATGCTGTTTTGTGAGGAAAATTTATTTTAAAATGATTTTTTCATTTGTTGTTTGCATGAACACGTTAAAGTCCAGAGTTATGAAAAGACACCCTCTGTTTTAGTGTTCATGGTATTTTTATTTGACCTTATTCTTTTCATCCATCCACACACAGCTCCCATGATACCCCCTTCCAACGTGAAAGTGACTTTGATTGAGGAGGACACTGCGCTGGTTTCATGGAAACCCCCAGATGAACCCGACGTAGCTGTCACACACTACACGATCCTGTACGCCTCCAGAAATGAATGGATAGCTGGGGAATGGCAAGTGCTGCAAAGAGAAGGTAAGGAGGAGAGTGGAAAGAAAAGTATAGGGAAAGAGGTTATACAGATGTGCAGGGGAGAGGACACACAAAGACTCTCTCCTGTCAAAGACAAAAGGTCCATTGGAAACTAGTAATTCATCGTCCAGTCCATGTCTCTGTTCATTGTGATCTCTGAATGGTGCCAGGACAGGTCGTGCTCACTCCAGTTTGGTGTTTTGACCCTTTCCACACAAAGTCCTCAGGTTCCCATCACCAGTTCAGCAGTATCCAATGCATTTAGTTCTCTCTTTTCAGTTGTTGATCAGTCTGTTTGCATATGTTCCAGTGTTAATCAAAAATACAGATTAATGCAGCTTTACACTCAAACTCGCAGGCACACGCTAGATTTTAGAGTTTGTACGTTTTCTGTGCTGCTATTAGAAGCAGAATCCTCTGTCTCTGTAGCATCTTTGCCAGAATTGTATGTGCTGAATTAGTTTTCATCATGGAAAAACTTCATGTTGTTTTTAGGTGCTCTGTAAACATATTGTGTCTATAACTATGTCAGGGGGGGTTTCTGTGAAATTGTCTGTAGAAAAAAATGTATTGCAAGAGTTACACAGTTATCTGGGAGCAACTGTCTTTAAATTAATGCTTAGAATAGACCAATTATAATTTATATAGTATAATCAGTGGGAATTGTGTCAAACATATAGACAGGCTCACAGAGATTTAAACTGTAAGTATTAATTATAATGTCACAGAAAAATTATTCATGTTTGATATGATTAAAGCAAGTTATGGTAGAGAGGTTTGAAAATGAACACCCTACATCAGTCAAACAATGTTTTGCCACCAACCCAAAATAAAGTAAGAAGTCTTGGTAAAGGAAACATTTTTCTCTTAAACAAGAATTAGTAATTAAAGTTTTCTTTGTATCTGGTTTGTGAGACAGCAATGGATTTTTTAAGAGTAGATAACCCCAGAAACACAAAAAAAGACACAGAACTGTTCCTCTGTCTCTGGGGAAGGGATCAAAAGTGGAGCTGCTCACAAAGCCCCTCCAGCTTAGCCCAGCCCCCTATCACCTCAAACTGAACACCCAACCCCCTTCAGTAGCTGCTGGGACCCTGGTGGTTTTGAGACTGGGTGATACTGGATAAGGGAATGTGTATGGCCCTGATCCCCTGACCCCACCCCAAGCAGCTCCCACATAGCACCTTTGTTTTTTGTTTTTTATGTTTCACTGCATCACAAAGTCTGAAACTGAACGATGGTCAGACTGAAAAAGTCAAGAAAAAGACAGCAACATATTAGATGAACAGAACTGTGTAGTTATTCAAAATGATCTCTACCATCAGGCTCCTTTGGACAGAGCCAGGTTAGCTGTTTACTCCTATTTCCAGTCTTTTTGCTAAACTAAGATAATTTGGTGCTGGCTGCAGCTTCATATTTAATGTACAGTCGTGAGAGTCGTATCAATCTTCTCATCTAACTCTCAGCAAGAAAGCAAATAAAATTTGCACAACAAAAATATTGAACGACTGCTTCAAGTGTTACCACTAAATGCAGTTAAATACCCAACTGTAGTATGTGATAAAAAAACTTTGTGATCTTAAACACTAGCAGATAATCCCCAACTCAGGCCCTCATTAGGATCTTTCATCCCAGCTATGCACTACACTACCTCAGAGTGGAGCCAAAAACATCTGAACATGAGTAATCAGATGTCATTAAAAAAACTAAATCATATTGTGTAAATTATTTATGAGTTTTAGATATGTAACTACTGATTTCATAACGTGTCTATGTGATCCCTGACGGATTGAATTTTGAATTTTTTTTTTTTTTAAAGAAATACTTTTAACTCATGACTGAAGCTTTTAACCACATCACACACAGTCTCCATCAGTTGATTATCACATGACCTAAGTATGTTATGGAAGTATGGATGTGGTTGAAAGATCCACACAAAGCTAGTGATTGGACCTAGACATAAGTTTTTTTTTTTTGTTTTTTTTTTTTTAAAATCAAAGCACTATTTTGGACAAAAACGTACTTTTACCTTCTTAAATTCTTCCGATATCATTTCCACATCTTCAAGATCGGTTTCATGAATGAAAGGGCTAGATGTATTAACTGGTCAATCCATCTTGATGAAAAAACACCTGTAGATAAGGTTAAGAAGATGAAAGCCCTGCTTCAACAATATAGTCACAATGTGCAGTTAAACACCAGAGTTAAATCTCACCAACAGGGACTATCACCATGGCACTGCTGGAGAACCTGAGGCCTGGTCAGGTTTACTTGGTGAAAATTTCTGCATCCAACGACATGGGTGATGGGCCTTTCTCTCACACACTGGAGCTGACAGTACAGCCAGATCTCTCATCCGACCCCCGGCACTCCACAGGTCAGTGCCATCGACATTGTTCTCACAGAATCACTTGATATCTTATGATAAGAGTCCTTTTGAAGTTCCCTTTTGAAACTGAAACATTGTGATCACAAGTTATACCATAATCCGACAATGTTGCCTTCATCCTTCACAGCCTTATCTGATGGTTTCTACCACCTGGACCAAAAATCAATGACAGGGATCACTGTGGGGGTGTGCATTGCTTTCATCTGCATCATCATTTGTGCCTTCATCATCGTCTGCCGAGGGAAAAACAGGTATGTCTGAATACAGCAAAAGCCCAGTTTCCTTGAGTATCCTCTGTCTATAGTAACGTCATATTTGTTTCCCTCCAGGAAATTTTCAGCTGTTAAAACATACACAGAAGGAGTGAGTGCCTCTCCCTTGGCTGCAGGACAACTGGGCTCTGACGGACAAGCTGAGAATGCTGATGTGGCTGTACCAATGATGAGTCAAAACCATTTCATCGATTCCAAGGTACGTAACACTTATTACAGCGTGTAACTCTCTAAATTCCATTGAACTGACGATTTTTCAGGCCTGGAAAATGTTTGGACATTTGTTAAATATTAAAAAAACTTGAAGTAATCAGAAAGACATGAAATGTAGTAAAGCCATTGGAATATGTAAAACTTTTAATCGTATAAATTTTATGGTTTGTTCTGGATATTGCTTGTACCTATTTATACTGAATTTTTTTTTTTCACTTTTTAGGGTGGAACAAACCTCATTATCAATTCTCTCGGTCCTGTTCAGGCCAGTGCTGAAAAGAAAAAGAAATGGTTTTCCTTCAGCAATAATGTGAAAAAGGACAGTAAAGCATTGCAGGTAAGACTAAGAATGATGAGTCCTGTCTGTGAAATTGTGTTGAGTTGAGTCTCAGGTTGCATAAAAATTTGAAAACAAAATTGCAGACCCAAACGTCACCCTCAGGTTGTTGGAGGTTGTGCTCCACCTGGGACTAAGAACTGCATGGCTCAATTCAGGCCAAGAAGGCACTCATGCCCCTCAGGCGCTCCTTCATATGTGCTAATTATGAATCCACTGTAAGGAGGATATGGAGTTTGTTGAGCAGGTTTTTTATCTTGAAAACTTTAATCTAAGAGCAATAAATTGAAGAGGAAACACATTTGGTGAGTAGTAAACGTACAGCTTTCAGAACCTGTATTACAGACTATAAACATCAGAATTAGTTTTATAATGGCTTCCAAAGCTCCCACTAGTAACAGGTTTGCTTATGACGTTGAGACACCTCACGGCTATCTGTAAAACTTGGCCATAAACACTCAGATAACTGGAGGAACACTTTCTCTGTGCTGCAGAATATGAGGCATGGCACTGCGTCCTACCAGCCAGGCACCACAGTGCTGACCTATGAGGAGGAGTTGTCTGTTTCTCCAGACCAGCGCACCCCTCTGCAGGCTCTGCTCGGGTGTCCTGGCGACACAGAGGGATCTTCTAGCAGCGAGGGCAGCCATGCAACTGGTGACTCAGGTCGTTACTCTCATGACGAAACGGAGATGACCAACCTGTCATCTGGTGCCAGCAGCCGTCCGCCGTCTCTGACAGCGGAGGACAGCAGCGGCTCGGACTGCAGCGACCCTGTTGAAGAGCTGCACGAGCTGTCGGAGGAGAGTCAGACTGACCAGGAGTTAAAGGAGTCAGTTGAGAAAGGCTGCTGTCATCATGAAACCCAGGGCAGTTCTCAGTCTGCACTCTCTCTAAGTGTGTAAGTGTGCGATGTGAGCGTGTGTGTGTGTGTGTGTGTGTGTGTGTGTGTGTGTGTGTGTGTGGTGATGTGGACGTGAAGGCAGTGGTATACAGAACAGGAACAGTTGGGCCTTTAGGGACATGTGCTTATTGCCTTTGTGGCAGGGAGTTTGATGAGAAGATAAGTACCACTCTGCCAATCTATTAAATATGAAGCTATGGCCAGTGACTGGTTAGCTTAGCCTAGTACAAAGATTGGAAACAGATAGAAACAGTTAACCTGGCTCTGCCTGAAGGTAACAAAATCTGCATACCAGCATCCTGAAAAGTCCCTATTTAACATGTTAAATCTCGTTTGTTTAATCTGTACAATTTGTTCATAAAATGTTGCCAATCTTCTCATCCAACTCTCACCAAGAAAGTGTATTTCTCAAAATGTCGAACTATGCCTTCAACTATGTAGTCGCCACCAAGAGAAAGAAGAAGTAGAGGTGACAAGCAAGAAAACATGACGGAGAAGGGGAGATAAGGACTAACTCAATAAGCCGAGCTAAGGACAGATCTGATGCCAGTATACCACAGGCCTGAATGTCAGTGTGAGAGTACTGTAAGCATGAGAGAGAGGTGTAAAGAATCAAAGACAGTGACTTTTTTTTAACATTTGTCCTCTTTTCTTCCAACCTACAAATGTTGGCAGGGAAGGTCATTTGATTTCTTTTACTTCTTTCTTTTTCTTTTAATTGTTTTTTTTTTTCTCTTAATTTGTGTATGTTTTTTAAAAGAAAAATCTCACCCACCATGAATGTTTAAAAAAGATAGTCAAGAATGTGAAAAAAGTGACATTTCTGACATTATTTAAGAGAGTTTATCACTGGAGCGAAAGGGAAAAGTGAGTCCTTTTCGCTGATTATCTACCTCGGTTTACCTCTGAGTAAACTTTCCACTGTATATTTAACTACTTATACCTACGTTATGTGATATGCTGCTTCAGTTGCATTACATTTTATACTTCCTGATGACTTTTTTTCCTGATTGTCATCCCATTTTGTCTTTTTCTCTTGCTTTGTTCTGATTTACTGGATGGTGAGGGCGCTGCAGCTTTCTCCTCTTGCTCCACCTGTTGTGTGGACTGAAGGATGTAAAACACATCTATTTATCTCCTCAGATGTTGCTGAGGTACTGAGTCAGTATTAATATTATGTTTTGTTCATTTTGTCCATTATTGAGTAATGGTATGAAAGAAATAATGAATGTCTACTTTTGCTTTTTTAAGTCAGTGCGCAGCTGCCCTTGCTAATCCTGTTTTATACTACCTCATTTAAGAATTTATTTTATTGTCTTATTGTTTTCCTAAACTCAGGGAACAAGGTTTAGTACATTTGAAAAGTCATGTAGTGTTACATGGTGAACTGACAGGGTATCTTCTCAGTACTAAACTGTTGTAGTGTGTAATTGCCCACTAGAATATGCTATGAATGTATCTCTGACATTGTGTGCCAGTAGCTCAGATGTTTGTGCTGCCCTCCTCACAGATGGACACCCCTTCTGTAGTTTCTCCTCAGGTCCTACAATGTCTGTTTTTACAACAGACCCTTTTGTTTGTTGACTTCTTCCTTTTTGTTCGTGTAAAGATTCACACCAGAAGTGCTTGCAGTGGCATGTCGGTATAGAAAAGCTTTATAATTGGCCTTAATGTGGAAAGCATCCCTCAGATGCTGAAACCAAAGCCTAATCTCTCTGAGGGAGAAGCTCCACATGAGGATGCAACACATGAAGAATGATTGCAGTAAAAGCAATGGAAGTGTTTTTAATCAGAGATGAAAGTGAAGAATTTAATGAACACCACAAAAAAAATCTATATTTTTGTTAGAAGATATGTACTACTGAGTACACATTGTAGTTACTTTTGCTCCAAATAGTTATGTTGCTTTGCTGTAGAGTAGATAAAGATTAGCACTTGTCTGCCAAGTAGTTTTGTATTATCAGCCAATGTGCAGCGGTGACTGTGACGCTATTACCCAAAGAGTTGTTTGCTACCTTATTTTAGCCTCTCAACTAATCTCTGGCAGAAGGTTACTGAGGAATGTGAAATAATCGAGACACATTAGACCAAAGATTAAGCGTGGCCTTGGAGATCAGTTGAGGCGCTGCTCCTCAAACAAAGCCTTGCACATTAGTGGCCTTGACCCACGACAAAAGGAGTGTAGAGAGTTGTGGGTTCAAACTCTGAGGAAGTGCCCGCAGGATTCACAGGCACTTAATGACAACGGAGTGACAATTAATAATCAGTCTTATGCACACAAACCAAATTATCCTGTTGCAGAGTTCCTCGAAAACTGCTGCACACAGACGTCTGTACATTGTAGGTGAAAATAATAAGAGTTAAATACAGTATATTATATTGATTAGTAGTCTGTGTTGCGACAGTGCAGCCTTGTGTAAAAGTGCACCCACTGACTTTTTGCCTAGCGAATGAGTGAAAAATAATTAACAAAATAATTTAGAAGTTTGTATTTGAGAGATTTCCTGATTAGAAACCTACACAAACTATATTTTAAACAAGAAATCTATTAAGAATGTGATTCTGTTATTCATTCATATTATTTAATGTCTTTATTTTGAAAAATATATCTTTTTAAGATCTCACAGATGGAAGTTGTTGCAGTTTTGAATGATTTTATGGCATAAGAGAGATTTCAGAAAGGTCAGTGGATGTACAAATGTTTTCACATTGCTGTGTTTTTAATCAGAGGATTCTACAGAGGATTCAATCATGGGAAATATTTGGGATGAAAAGTGAAACAATCAGTTTAACTTTCTTTTTGAAAAGCAAACAATATAAACCAAAGAATTTTCTTAAAGGTCACCGTTGCATATTGGCAAGAGATCTGTTTTAAAGCATCCTATCTTTGTGTGAGATGTTGTCATTTTCAGTGTTTCTCTTACTCGTTTTACAACTGTATAATGTGTTGTACTACAAGAAAGCAGAATGAAAACGTTACTCTTTGTTTCTTAATCACCATTTATTTACACAAAATCAAGTTTTTGTCTTTTTTATTTGTCTTTCAAGATAAAAATGGATTTTTGATACAGTGGAGTTGTGTTTATCCTGAAAAGGATAGACATTTCCATTTTAACTTGAACCCTATAATGTATTCATATTATCTGTATTAGTAGAGCGTCAAGGCCTCAATCCAGAATCTGAAAGCAGCACTCATTCTTATTTTCTGAACCCAAAACACCATGTCGTGATAATTACACCCACGACTACTTGAGTCATACAGATTCTGATTTGGGCCTTTTTGTAGCTCGTACAGGTACATAAGTGCTACCTCAGGTTTTTATTTTTTCATATTCTGGTGATAGGTGCAGATGCAATTCACTTGGGTCGTTCTTGTCTGTGAGACTGAGGTCAAGATGTAACAAGTACACAGAGAGGACCCAGGATGTTGTCCTGCTGCCTTTCATCTCATGAATGGTGTTATGTTGGAATTATGTTCCTGTCCAAGCATGTGAATTTAAAGGGATAAAACACGGAGTCTGGTCTGCGAATGAACAGATCCGCTCTTTAGTGTCCCTTTTGCAGTAATGTTGTGTTTAAATAATGTGCGGTGGAGCGCTGCGGGTCATTTACAGTCAAACTCAGGGGGACCCGCAGCTGCTCCTCCTCAAAGAGAAAGCAGGTGTCAACTCTTGAAAATTGAATGTACCTTTTTGTAATTATGTTGTTTTTTGATTATTTCTGTTAATGTTTTGTTATATTTTGTAAGTTTGTCTTTGTCTGCAAAATTACTTGCAAGTTGGTTTTTGCCAAAAAATGTTTAGATAGATTTTAGACAGTAGTTAATTATGAAAAAAATCTGATTCTCAGTTTAAATAATAAAGTGCAAAAAATAAAAAAATAAAAATAAAAAAAAGTCCTAGTCTGCTGTTGTTTTTACAAGACATGTTAAGCTCTTGTGCTGGTTAAAATGCAAATGGAACTTTATTTTGTTACTTTAATTATCGCTTTATCTTAATCTAACTGCAAAGAGTCTATTCTTTATTCTTTAACTATCCTTTAACTTTTTTAATTCCTTCAGTATATGTTTATATATATAAGTTGGTGTGATTAGAGTTAAAATTGTGATACCTGTTCATCATTTCTCCAAAATAGATAACTTTTATTTAACCAGAAAAAGTAAAAAAAACAACCTCTTCTACGTGAATGCGGTGGCCAACGCTGCAGCACCAGGCTTGTAATTAAATGTTTATTAAAAATTCTTTAAAAATAAAAACACAATATTGATACATACGATCTAAAAACTAATAACACTGATGATCACAATATAACTTCCCCTTCAAAAAGAGCACTTTGTGTTCAGGTGATCACTCCTGTGTGCCAAAGAGGCGCTGGCCTGCACCCTCACTCAGTTATACAATAAACTGGAGTTTCAGGATTCAGACTGGGACACTGGAAGGTGTAAATTAAACACCACAATGTAAAATGCCCCATTACAAATAAAAGTCATGTAAAAGCACGTACATGTAATCAGGAAAATGTACTGAAAGTATCAAAAGTAAAGGTGCTCAATGCTATTATATATCATTGATCTGTAACAGTTCACAGAATACTAAGAAATGTCCGTAATAACTCATATTCATATTGTCATATGTCATATTTACAGTATATTTACCATAAAAACAGAGATAATGTTGACAACACTGATCTCTACTGGTGTAATAGCAGATCACAAGATTACTGAACCATAATAATTATCTTACAATAAATATGCAAAATATCATATATACAGTGCAATAATCAAGTGCAAAGTACACGTGAGGCTAATATTGTTAAATTGTATATACCATATATGTGTGTGTGTGTGTGTGTGTGTGTGTGTGTGTGTGTGTGTGTGTGTGTGTGTGTGTGTGTGTGTGTGTGTGTAAAATTGATGCAAATGCATGAAGGATACATAACAAAAACATGTACAGTTGTATTCAAAGTTTGGTCACTCTAAATCAGTATCAGTATTAGTGAGTTTTTATGTTCTTGACTTTGGAAATTTCACCCACTCTTTCTGCAGATCACTTCAACTTCTGAGATAATTTTAGGTTTTCTTGCACACACATCATTTACATAATTCACATATTATTTACATCAATTTCCCTAGGGTTTTTTTTTTTTTTTGATTCTGTAAATTATACAAACTTATAACTTCCTTACAGGTGTCTCACGGGTCAATCTTAAACAAACTGATAGAGCACATTGAGCCTGACAGTAGCTTGAATAGTGACTTATTATATATGTCACTGTTCAAGCTGTGCATCTATAGTTAGATGACTGAACCCTACCTACCGGTCGAGCAACATAGCAGCTGAACAGTGTTTATTAATCAGGCCAACAGTGTGTTGACATGGACCGGCGGGCTCACAGACCAAAACAATGACCACCACGTGTTCTCAGACGGACACTTAAACTTTTCAGCATCAGCCACGGGCCTTTTAAAACCCCCGCTAGTGCTACAACACTGTGCAAAACACATTAATGAGTTTGTTTTGCTGTCTTCTCGCCCTCCTTAATTCCTCGGGCGGTCCCCGTTGTCACGTTTCCGTGTTTACGTTTTTTTTCGTAACCACAAGATTTGTTCCCACACGATTTGCTCCACCTTCGCAGGGCCTGTTTCGCCACCGTGTTGGTCCATGGGAAATGTAGTTGAAATAGGTGGCTGAAGTTGCACTGCGTGTCCAAATGTACCACTAGTAAGACTATATTTCCCAGCTACAGTCGGGTTTGAAGTGTTGTTAACGGATAACCTGGGATCGGGCATACTGCAACAACTCTGGAGCTGCTTACAAACAGCTGCCTCTTGTCGGGCACAAAACACCGGTGGGTAAAATCATTTCTCTTGCTTTTTTTTAAACTAGTGCTGTGAAATGGTCGTTAAAGACAGTGGACGCTGTCGATAAGGCTTTAATATATGCCCCGACGATGCTCAGAGAGGTGACGTTAATAGCCAAGCCTGTTAAGTTAGTTAACTATCTGAAAAATAACCGCTGCGTGTCGTTACTTAATGTTGAGAGACGACTGGTGTCAGCCACAGTCCTCAGCTGCTGAAATCTCTGTTGTTGAAGCAAATGTTGGCTGTTTTCAGCCAGGCCGCAGCAGCTGGCATCTTCTGTGAGCTGTTACTGTGCTCTGTCGCCGCTAGAGGACGCTGTCACACCTCTTGTTTGTTTTTTTTGTTTGTTTGTTTGTTTGTTTAATGAAGGTTGAAAGAATTACAAAACTGGACAGAGCACCATGCATAGGTGGTGAATGAAACAGCATGTCCCTCCATAACAGCGGTGCTAAAGTGTTACAATGAATTAAATCGGTGTATTTGTCCATAAAGAAAGCAGATGTGACTGGGTCTGCTGTATTTATGTACTTTCGCATCAAAAACAAACCATACGTTGTTTGCAGGACCTTCCAGGTAAAAGAAACAAAACAGGTGTGTGAACACATACAGGCTGCTTGGGGTCAAGTCTATTGGTATTCACCTGATGCAGATGTCAGTGGGATTATTTGTTTCCAGTAGGGGTGTTTGACGTGTATAGAAAGTGATATAGCTAGTAAAGCTTCTGCAAAATCTGTATTTTTGGCTACTCCACTAAATGAAATACCTGGCAGCACCAGGTACTTCATCATATTAATCCAAGAGCCTTATAAAATCCAACATTTCTAAAAAGCCCCTGGTCATTGTTTTGCTACATTGCTTACAAGATATTACAAGGACGAACTATGGACTATATAATTACATCTATGTGTATTTGAGGAAGTCCAAACAAGTGCTGAAACCGTATCTGTTTATATGGACACAGCTTGGTTTTTATTAGATCATGCGTTTTTTTTAGCTGTGGAAACACTTGGAAATTTAACTTGATTACTAAATTTAATAACTTGCTTATTTACAATAATAAACTAATGTTGAGCAGCTTAAACTGATGATTTGTCACACCGATAACGTGTAAACTTTTAAGCATGAGACATATTGACATATATTTTTCACCACCTCATATTGTAGTGTTTATAGTATTTAACTTTTTCATTTCCTCTAGATCCCTGTTTTAGCGTTTATTGCTGACAGCTGCCAGAAATGTCAGAGACGTCAAGTGATGCAGAGTCATCCTGTGGCTGGACCATTATTAGTAATGAGGTATGAATCCTTTTTCTTTATTCTTCATCATGGCTTTTTCCATTTGATTATTACTGTTGTTGTATAGTTCTTGACATATTTAAGGTAACAGCAAGAGGGGGAGGGTTTAAAACAATGCAAAATGTAAAAAACAAAAAGAACAGAAAAGGAAAATTAGGAAGGGAGTCTGTTTTCTTATAAGTGCATTAACAGACCTTTGTGATGCTGAAAAGAGACAAAACTGATAGCTGGGGTTGTGAAATTAAACACTAGTTTTGCTTATATTTTTTTTGCTGTTTTACCTTGTTAGCGGGACAAAAAAAACTTTTAGCTACTTAATGTATATTCCCTCAGTTATTCAGTTACTAATCATCTCTCATAGTATTCTGCTCATATATTTTGCTGAATACTGTATATTCTTAATCATCGACATTTATCAAATGAGGCAGTAGTTGCTAATTTGACCAGAGAAAGACGTAATTCCCCCAACATACCCAGTTTCAGTGTTTGCTTTCTGTGTTTACAGGGTTCAGATATCGAAACGCTGGGATTGGAGGCTGCAGTGGAATATGGAGCCGAGCTGTTAGAGCGCCCTCCAGTGGAAGAGGCAGAGCTGCATGACACACAGGCCTCTGCATCTGGTGGTAAAAATCATCATACTCATTTTTTTACCTGGGTCATGGATTTATTCGTTATATTAATTGTTAATTATGTTTTAGTGTGATATTATAAGAATAAAACAAGTTTTTTGGTGCATGCATTTCTGCATAGACGAGAAAATAGGGAATTGACGAGTGAGAATGACTAAATTGAAATGTAATTCAGCTGAAATATTTTATCAACTTGCCTTTTTTAAGGATGTTTATTTATTTTTTTTATTTTGACCTGTTTCTCATGACTTGCTCTGCATTTACATTTTTCCTTCTGTTGTTTTTGTTGTGCTGTTCACCTTAACATTTATTCTGAAAACAAATAGTAAATTCTGATTAAAGCTGAAACAGTTAGTCAGTTATAAATTGGAATAAAATCTGTAATAAGATTTAAATATTTAAAATAATAATCTGTAAATGCCTTGATAGTGATTAATTTAAGACAGTTTGTTAAGAATAGTTTGTCAAATCTGATTATTTGCTCACACATGAAATTTGTCAGAGAAGTTATGATTTTTTTTTTTTTGCAATATTTTCTGAAAATTAATCAAGAAAGTAACAACTGAAAAATTAATAGTGAAAATACTTCTCACTATTGATTTTCCCTGCGTGATTTAATATTTGTGACCTTGCGATCACAGTAGCCATAACTTACACATTTATCATAATTCATACTGATTGTATTTCAGCTGGATGTGTTGAAGAGAGAGGTGCTGATTCCCTTGACGACACACTGGGAGAACAAACCGTAGATGAGACACTGTATGTCTCTGAGGTGAGAAGACCTAAAAATAACCCACAGGGTGTTTTTTTAAATAATCCAAAGCCACTTTGTTGCCGCTCTCTGTGCCAAACATCTCGAACATATCCCCTGCAGGCAGGAGACAGTGCTGAGGGGAAAGGGCATGTCTCTCTGTTGTCCTTCAGCGATCACTCTGACATCGTGACTCTGGGAGACTTGAAGGAGGACGATCACGCAGACGTGGAAGAGGAGGCAGCAGCCAATGAGGAGTTTTACCTCGGCACGTCCTGCAGCAGCCAGTACGCCTTCACTGCTGCAGAGACTGGTACGACACACTCACCTATCCTCATGTTTTCTTTAGCAATCTGATTTTATTTCCACTCACAGCCAAACAGTCAACACAGATAAATTTGACACATCAACACAAAATGTGTCTCTGCCCTGTTTTCTACGTCACCAAAGCAGGTTTGATGATGAGTCACTGGAAGCTTCCTCAGAGTTTGGTGAACTTAGGCTACCATCTGAGGAGCCAGCTCACTGGAGGCCGCTCTTTTGCAGGTGGCCTGATTTGAAACTGGAGTGAATCTAATATGGTGCTCAGCTTGCTCAGCAGTGCACAGAACTAATCCTGATGCTCACGAGAACACATGCTGTTTAACGATGTGAGCCAGCTGTGCTTCTTTAAAGGCATGTTCAACCACAAAAAAGAAAAATGTGTGTAGTTTCTCCACCGGTGTGCATGTGTGTGTCTTTGTAGGTCTGGCAGACAAAGAAATTAAGTGTAATTAATTTACAAAATTATATACAACATTACTTAATTGTGAACTCCCAGTAGCCTTGTTGTCTTAGACTCAAAGTCAGACGAGCAGGTTTAAGGCGCTAATTTCTTTTTTTAAGTTTACGTTTTCTCTTTTTGGAGAACTAAGATTACCAGCAGCGATTAAATTGTCCAGTAAATCGAGAGGATTCAGGAGTGCTCATGTGTCTTCATTTTAAATCATTTTTTTTAAATAATATTTCTAAATTTTGTTTTAGCTGTATTGTGCTTAAAGGAATAATTTGACACTTTGGGAAATAGGCTTACTTGTTTTCTTGTTGATGAAGTTTAAATTACAAGACTAATACCACTCACGTGTCAGTGTGGTAGTGATGGGGGGATAAAGCCTGATGAAGCTTTGCAGCTTTCTGCCTATTTGTGCCAATAAAAGACTTGAAGTTTTGGGGCTTCAAATACAGCAAACACAGTGATATCTGGTGGTTTGCAAAAGTTATAGCAGCCCTTCAAGACCAAACCACTACAACACCTCACTGCTTTTAATTATTCCAATCTCATTTGTGCATGTTTTTATTAAATGTGCAATACTTCTTAAAGTGCTGCAATAAGTGTAGATGCTGTTGTGCAGTATGTTACAGTTAGATAATGAATACATTGTCCAATTCACTGACACAAAATATTAATGTACCTTACTGACATAGTTTAAGCAGAGTGTCCGTGTGTTTTAACTTCATGGTTGATATTTATGTAACATTCTGTAACAACAGTCTCAGTGTGATGTGATTGTAGATACATATTCATAAAGTTTGCCGGTTACTTTTATTTACTTATTTATATTACTAAATATTACATAATTGTCTTTCTAGTGTACATCGACAGATTTGTCAGTCATTCTCTTCTCTTCTTATCCCACTAATCTGCCTATGAGATAGTTTAGCTGCAAAACTTTCTAACTGAATGAAGCACCGGTGTCGAAGCTTTCGCACAAGAAAAACAAAGTGTGAAAATATCATTGCAGTGCTACAGGGGTCATGTGCCAGGTTATTACTTGGCTGAGTGGTATTCATCTTCTCCTCTAACTCTCAGCAACAAAGCAAATAGGCCATTTTCCCAAAATGTTGAACTATTCATTTCATGCATTCAGAAAGATTTCATGAACACAAAAATAGATCAAGAATTTGCAATGATATTGTTCAGCATTTACTGAATCAATTCATCTTAGTAATATTTTTCATCTGCATGATTAACATCACTGCTTTCTGAGCCTGATATTTTTGTATGCACCACTTTTTAAAAATTAATTTCAAATTTAATTCCATCATATAATCACTGCAACCATAACTTTGTGTATTTTGCTTTAGTTTTCCCAGTGCAGCAGCCAGCAGTGACAAACTCGAGCAGCAGTGAGGACGAGGCGGGACAAGGCGCCAGCACCGTCATACGAAGACGGCGGGTGAGGAAGAACACCACGAGCATTGTGACAGACCCTGAGGAAGAAGAGGCACTGGAATCTGGTCCAAGTGAAGAGGAAGAGGAGGTGGAAGAGGAGACGCAGCAGGAGGAGCAGGCTGAAGTTAGACCTGCTGCGGCTCTGCATGTGCGAATGCAAGGCCAGGGCAGCAGTATACTCAACAAGTGTATCCTGCTCGCCCTCATCATAGCCATCAGCATGGGCTTTGGTCACTTCTATGGTAAGAAGAAGGAGGATGTTACCGACGTTACTGTTCATGTAGAAAATATTCTTACTTTTAACTTTCCAGTGTGGCACCTTCACCATCTGTGAAAGATCACAAAATTTCTATCTGTCTTTGGCTCGGTCCAACTTCTGTCTTTCAGATGTGATGTGCTTGGCTTCCTACGAGAGATAATTGACCCAGATTTGTAGAAGTGTTGCACTGATTGTCCATCAATCAGTCTCCCATTGCAACATTAGAAATTTCTTTTTAGTTTGGTTGTAAGACCAGGTATAAGAGATATCTCAGTGGTCCTTATCTGTGGTGGGAACTACAGTGTTTACAAGAGCTTTTAACAGTTTGTAGGTTTTATATGTAGGTTTGTTCCTCCTTACTGTGTTTCTGACTTTATAGACCACTGCAGACTGCTCCCTCCTCACATGTGGATTTGCCCCATCAATGCTTTCTAATGTTGTGTGTAAATAAATATTCAATATGTTAATAATATGTGTTACAAATCTCACTTACAGGCACAGTCCAGATTCAAGAAAGACAGAAGAATGTGGAGAAAATCAGAGTGAATGAGCTTGATAGTGTGAGGGATCTGCTTCGAGATGAACATTTTACAAAACAGGTCAGTGACGGCACAGATCAGGACTCAAGTAATAATAAACTCATCTAAACAGAACGTACATAACAATAATCATTAACTAATTCTGTACAATGCTTTTGACTTCTGTCGCTTCTTTCATGCATAAATACTTATATTTTATTTATTTAATTCATGTTTATTTTATTCTTAAATGTTATTTATATCAGAAAAACACTGAGTGACGAAGAAACAGTTCATATTCCAATGCAACCCAGTACAACAGTCCTAATAATAAATTAATAAGTCGTAGTGTTTATGTGTAATATTTAATTGTTAATACTGTGTCAGAGAGGTTGTTTCAACTCTGTTCATTCTTGAGGCTGTAATTTGTTTTGTTGTATTAGATTACATTAATTAGCAAGATAATTATTAGAGCTTGTTCACTATGTGCGGGACAAAGTATTTAGAAAAATCTTTAAATACAGTTAAATCCATTGGCACAGCAAAGCCTTAAAATCTACCTCGAGTTGAGTCAACACAAAGAACTAGAACTTTTTTTTTTCCTGTTTTCTCTCTCAGGCTCAGAGGGGAGACTTTGCCCTGAAAGACTTGGATGAGCAAAAAGTTATTTCACTGCTCACAGAGGTGATTGAAAAGATAAAGAAAGAGAACCAGGAGATCAACGTCAACCAGGCGCACATTCAGGTAACTTGGTAGTCCGTGCACTGCTTAAACACAAATGTGAAATAAATGCGTATGTTACAGGAAGGAAATGTTAGGAAGAACAAGTCAAAACTGAATGATTGAAGTGAACTTTGTGATCATCATGACACTTGTAAACACCACTTTAAAAGCCATAACTTTCTCTTTTGCTCTGTCCTTTTCCCATTAAGGCCCAGAGGGATGACCTAGAAATGTTGCTGAAACAGAAAGCTGAGGAGAGGACTAACATCGCGGCTCAGCAACAGAGGCTGACGGCTGAAAACCAGCAGCTGAAAAGATCGCTGGAACGCGAAGAAAAGTCTCTGTCCACTTTACAGGAGGAGCTGAGAAACCTGCGCTCTAAGATTAGAGAACTGGAGGCGAAGGGAGCTGGAGCTGACTCACTACTGTCAGAAAACCACAGGCTGAAAGAGCAGCTGGAGGAGGAGAAGCAGCTGATCAGAAACTTCCACACCCAGAGGGAAGACTTAATGGCTGAAGCACAGACACTGAGGAAGAAGCTTGACAAGGAGAGGAGGTCCACAGATGAGATGAGGAGAGAGCTGACTCGTCTGAGAAGTCGCATCCCTGGAGCTGGAAAGGAGGCCGGTTCAGAGGCAGAAGAGCTACAGTCACGTCTGATGGAGCTGGAGAAGCGACTGAGCTTCGAACAGCAGCGCTCTGACCTGTGGGAGAGGCTGTATGTGGAAACCAAAGAAGAAAGAGCCAAAGGAGACACAGAGTCCAAAGTGAAAAAACCGAAAGCGGGCATGGCAGGGAAAGTGAAGGAGACATTTGATGCCGTGAAAAACTCCACCAAGGAGTTCGTCCACCACCACAAAGAGCAGATTAAGAAAGCAAAAGAGGCTGTGAAGGAGAACCTGAGGAAGTTTTCAGATTCTGTCAAATCAACCTTTCGACACTTCAAGGACTCGGCTTCAACTTTCATCAATAAGGCCAGAGGCTTTTATAAGAAGAGATGTGATGAGAAGAATCCAAAAGAGTCCTTCCACAACACTCGAAAATCAGGGTATAAAGTCCATGAAGATAGAGGTCAAAACAGCCACAAAGCCAACTTCAAAGGGTGCTCTGGCGTTTTTGACTGCGCCTACCAGGAGTCTATGAGTCTCTTCAACAAAGCCATGGAGCCGATCAGAGCAGATGAATTTTACCAGCTGCTGCAGAGCTACCTGCACCAGGAGGTCGATCACTTCCACCACTGGAAAGAGCTGGAGATTTTCATCAACAGCTTCTTCCACAATGGGGTGTTCATCCACGACCAGATGCTGTTCACAGACTTTGTCAGCGGGGTGGAGGACTATCTGGCAGATATGCACGAGTATCACGGGCTCGACGATGATGTGTTTGGAGATCTTGATGACTACGTCTACAGGCACTTCTTTGGAGAGACTTACACAAAAAGCTATGGCCCAAGGTAAGTGGCCGTTTTCGCAGAGTAGCTTATCTTGCAACTAGTCTAAGTTGAAAGTTTCCAGCTAAGCTTTATTCTTAAGACCTTTCCACATTAACTGAGGAACTGAGAGAACAGGAACCCTTTTTTTTCCCAAGGCCCATAATTTCCCCTAAAAGAGTGGGGAAAACTGACTGTTACACTGACACACTTCCAGTTTATTCATTTCATTTATTACAGCATAACTAGAGTCTTTTAGTCAGTGCTCAGCAGGTCAGCTAAATGTGACATTTGCAAACATTTTGGCTTGTGAGTACATTGAATCTGACAAACACTGTTTATCAGCAGACCAAAAAAAAAACCTTCATCCTAATTTTACATACAGTGCCAGTTTTACCAGGTTGTACAGCAACTGCTATGAAATCCAATTTACATATTTATTTATTTATTTATTGGCTGGTAGCTGAAGTTGAGATATTCCAACTTCATCAGTGCTGTAAACTGTATTTGCAAAGTGTTGTGTAAATCATTGTCTTCAGTTTAATTGGTTTTATTTTGATCCTTCTGAACTTCTTTGCTGTCAAAAGATGCTTTTAAAAGTTACTTACTATGAGCAGACCTCTGAACAACCTCTAACTTCTCTCAGATTTTGAAAATGGTTCTTCATGAATCACTATTAAACCAAAAACATGCTGACACATGCTGACACATGCCCCCCCCCCCCGTTTCGCACCAATTCTGTAAATTTCGTTCATGTTTTGTGTTTGAATCACACAGCGGGCCGTTTGAGAGACCCGACACCAACTCAAAGGAGGACTCACGCTCAAAGCATCAACGCAAGCAGCAGAGAGCCAGATCTCGACCACACAGTGAACGCAAGTGGAGCAGATCAGGAAGAAACACAGACAGACACATGGCTGATGTCAAAATAGAACTGGGTCCGATGCCGTTTGATCCCAAATACTGAAAATATCGCACCAGGTTTAATATTATAGTTGCACATTCTATTTTTGGTTGTATTTAGATGCAAAAGCTCTTTTTTGTAAGTTTGCACAATATTAACTTTTTAATGCTACTGAACGTCCTCAAGCTGTTTTGTGTTTAGTGAAGTAATCATCATTAGGTTTGAGTGAAACATGTGGCTTATCTATTTTGTAACATGAGAGATTCGTGTTCATTTAACATTTGACAAATGTTAACCACTTAATTTTTAGGACTTCCTGCTGAAGCACCACTGATTCTCATCTGCAACCACAGCACTTTTGTTTAGAAATATTTAGCGGAAAATGTTACTTGTGAACCCAAAGCTAAACAAAAAAATGGAGAAAAAAAAACAAAAACAAAAAAAAGACGCCACATTAAGGATGTTTCCATGTACAGCCATATAGTTGTTTTAATTTGCTGCTACAAAGACAGGTCTATGTGATGTGGCTGTATCTTGCTTTTAAAATGCTGTTTTCTAACATTCCACCTCAAGCTTGTTTCAACTGGACCTGGAAGTTTTGTTTTACTTTAACATGAGATGAGAAAAAGGCTGGAAAAACAATTTCACACCAGATTTTGTTGTGAATAATTGAAAAAAAAAAAAAAAGCACGTTTGAGAAGTGATACTTCAAAATGACATCTGAGTTTTAAAATATTTATTTCAGTATCACATCATGACATTCATAAATGGAAAGAAAATTGCCATTGTTCCAGTGTTTGTCAGTGCCTTTCATAAATAAAGATGCTTCCTCCAACTCTTCCCTCAGGAAAGTGAGTGTGAAACATCTTTGCTGTCTTCACAAAGTTATTCCCTTGCAAAAACACAGAGATTTCCTACAACAAAAAACAACACAGTTTGTTTAGGCAACTGTGAAATTAACCATTTGTACAAATACATGCAGGAGTATCATTTGTGAATATCTTACCTTTTCCAAAACATCAAACAAAACCAGGTGTGTGGGCAGAGAGGACTTGTATGGAAATGAAGTCTGGAGCCAGTGAAGAGGGTCGTCATAGAATCTCTCAGCCTCATCAACGTAACCTTCCTCTCCGAGATCTGGAGGACACTCAAGAAACTTCATCTTCATCGGGCAGTGGATGTGGCTACAAGAAGAGCACATCATCAGCTGCTGTATGCAGCAGATTATCAATCAGATCCCATCATGCAGCTCGTCACCTGCAGACTGTCCCACAGCTGTGGAGGGGTGTGTACCTGTAGTAGGGTGTAGAGTGGCAGGGCATGAGGAAGAGGACGTCTGGCTGTGGAGGCGTCTGGCTGCTGCTGCTGGCATCACAAAGTGTCTGGAGGTGGCCCATGACGTCCAGAGTGCCTCGCTGGTGGATCAGGCCGGTGTATAGAGCTAGAACCAGGTTGGTCATGAACAAGAAGAACGCTGCAGCTCGACGCCACGTTTTTAGATTAGCCAAAGATATTCCTGTGGTGGATATTAGACAACAAATAATTGAAATGTGATTAAAAGACATATCTGTTTTGTGTTTTTTTTTTAATACATTTGAATGTGAAATCAGGAACTTACCACAGAAGACCATACAGAAGGGCAGCACAGGATAGATGAATCTGAACTCCTTGTGAGGGAGTAAACTGAAACAAAGAAATAGAATATATCAAGTTTGTCTGCTCAGTATAAAACATCATGAATAATCAAGACCCATGTTCATCAAACTGCTCAAAACTAAATTTTAGCCTTGAAGGCACCCTATGTAGTTTTTGACCACTAACAGTGTTATTGAGAAATATTTTCATGAGTAGGTCCTAGTTTTGTTTGTTCTTGTGCACACATCACACACATCGCACACTCCTGCCAATGGTTTCACACCACCCCTCTGACTGGGAGGTGACGGTAAAGAAAGACAGCAATGACCCAACAAAGGCAAAAAACTGAGGAGGGCACTTTTAAATACACTGTGTCATGAAGTTAGAAATCCTTCACTTTTACTCCTACTCAAAACCTAAGAAAATAAAAGCTACTTCTGAGAAATATTAAAATATTTCTTTTCTGAAGCAGTGTGAATAATTCAGAATAGGATAGTATTTGCAGCTGTTATCTGGAAACATGCATTTGATAGGATTTTACGCCATGAATGTCCCAGTTAGATTGTTATTTCAGGCGTTTGTTGCCGCTGCAGTAATTAAATATTTCACACAAATAAACAAAACTACAAAAGAATACATTTGCATGAGGACATGCTCATGTGAGGAGTAGCTACAGCAGATCATCATCCACATATTAGATTTGGCATAGGTTTTACGCCAGATGCTTTTCCTGACGCAACCAGGGCCGGGGATGGAACCGCCAACCCAGGGATCGGTGGCGAACGCGCTCTATACCTAAGAGCATTCTTAAGTGTAATTTGATAAATTCAGGCCCGTGGATGTGAACACAAATGTTTTACCTGTAAACCAGGATGGTCCAAACAACTGCTGCCAACAGGATTTTGTATCTTTTGAAGGCGAGGCTGCATCCATGAAGAAAGAAGGGAAGATGAGGACCGATGACGACAGCAAAACCCTGGGTGAAGTACCAGTGCCAGGGGTGAGAGCCGTAGAAATCAGCCACGCCGTGAAAAATGTTAAACTTCAGAAAATTGAACTGCACCATGGTCCACTAGAAAACAGAGAGAGCAACTGTTACATACAGTATGACTGCATGTAAGCAGCAGTTACTGGGTGTGTTTTACATGTTTTACCTTTTCATAGAATAGACAGTCAATCACTGTTGAAATCACAACAGCCAAAGCCCTGGAAATAGGAAAAAAGGATTATGCAGTGCAGAAAAAAAAAAGCAAAAGTACAGTTTAAGTGGATATGAGATTAAAAGTACAAACCCTATAGGAATGCAGTTACGAGTGATGAGCCTCAGTTTGTCATCTTCCTGCCAGAAATGGTACATCAGCAGAGGAAACCAGACAATCAGAGCTGTTGGACGAACAATGACAGCCAAGGCAACTAGGATCAAATATTTTTTGCTGGGGGGAAAAGAAAAAAAAAAAAACACCAACGTTGTGTCTGTAAGTATAATATAATATAAAATATATTTTGAATATTAGGGTAAATAAAAATGAGAAATTAAAGGTCTTAACGAGCAGAGACCTGCTGTGTGTTTTGGACCCAGACAGGGGAAAGTAAAAAAGAGCCAGACAGGTGATGGTGGTCTCCATGCTGTTGGTCAGAGTCCTGGTGCAGCAGAACCACGTAAACCATGAGCACAGATGGCAGAAAAACTACATGTCAAAACAAGAAGTTAAATGTTAAAATGAGAAGTCTATTGTGGGCGAGCAGAGGACTGAAACAGTGTTAAAATAAATCTTTAAAACAAATCACCGTCCATTTTGCAACATCACGACTTTCCAGCGTTCGGATGAGGAAGAAGAATTTTACATCGGCAAATGCAGCCAGGAGAGCTTGAGTTATTCGTGGAAGCCATTTCTGCAGAACCAGCAGGAGCAAGTTCAGTGAAACATTTTGACAGCATGAAATTCATTTTGTAAGAGACATGAAGAAAAAAAAAAGTTGTCTGAATAGTGAGATATGTTAACTTACCAGGAGGTGGACTGAGTCAAGTTTTATAAAGTATAATATCTTGTAAATGAATGCAAAGAAGAGTGGATAGGAGAATCCTCTTAGTCCTTCCTTCCATTCCCAGGTCAGATAACCATAAGTCAGACTGTTAAGGTTATAACAGCACAAAATAATAATAACAATGCTAAGCTGATGGTTTCAGCTTCAAAAAGACAATATAAGTTGCTAAATGATTTACAGCATTTCTCCATTGTCGGATGCTTAGTTAGAAATAAAAGCCCATTACGCAGAGTAGGTGACCAAAACAACAAATCATGTAACTGTGCCTAGAAAGAAAATACTGCAACAGAAAACTCCTCACTGAATGCAGCAAAAACAATCTTGTTTTCCACATGAGCCAACTAAGTAATCAAAATAATGGACATAAAGAGAGGGTCAGGGATTTAGGAGTAGGTTTCTGTGTCTGAGCAACAAACAATAAAGTTGCCATCTACAGTTGCTTTGTGGACTGTGTTTGAAGGGAACTTGGTTGCAACAAGGGCTTTTTTAATGCATTTTTTGTGCTTTTCCCCAAAAGGATATTTGAAGACCATACGATGGGAAACCTCCAGAGACTGCCAGTACTCATCAGGGACAAAGCTGGTCTGAACCAGGAAGCAGTTGATCAGTCTGAACACCACAGAAAACACAACAACTCTGGCTCTCAGCTCGCCTGTAGGGTTCAAGAAAAATCACTTCATTTTAGTTTAATGAACCGCTGGTAGAAGAAGTACTCAGATCTTACTTTTCTTGCAGTCTTACAACTCTTGGATTCAAAATCCTATTTAAGTTATGGTACAGAAGTATTATTAGTAAGTATGAAAGTATTTATTATGCAGAAAAATTACCTCTGTGAGTGAGATATATTAATGTACATAGTTAAGACACAACATTGTGTATGATTTTGGTAAATTACCTGTTTTTTTGTTTTTTTTTAACCATAGTATTCTTTGTTTCTTAAAGCAAAATAAACAAAAACAAAAAAGCACACCTTACCAAATCTCAGGAATTAAGAGAAGAGAAACCTAAGGACCACAGCATCATGATATGATAAATATAATAACCACTATTAGTATCGTCAAATTATATGAAGATTCAGATTCACATACCGCTTGGGAGTTTGTTTTAAGACAGCGTATCATATTTTTAGCCCATCACACAGTACGGTATGTTTTGTGTATAAAATCCTGATTTAAGGTAAATGCGACTATAGTGGTCAATAAGTGTAGTGTAGTAAAAACTTCACAACAGGTGGTGCGGAGTAGCTCCAAATCGTACTGAGTAAAAGTACTCAGTGTGTGTAACATGTCACAATAAAAGTCTCACCGTTGTTCAGGGGACATTCATCTTCCTCTGAGTAAAGCTGGGATTTTCTTTTCCTCAGTTTCACATTCTCGACTTTGTTCCCAAACCTCAGACGTTGTCGGAAGTTCTCCATCAGGACATTTTGTCTATAGGCCTGTGTGAATAATCCACTACCTACATAGCTCACCTGTCGGGAGTCAAGACAGGTGAGTTCAGAGACTAAGTGAACTCCAGGAAGTCACAAAGTCCATTTTAAACAGGCGGAATTAATATAAGGTATCTGCTGCTGGTCAGCTGCTGCCGGTGAAGTACCTGTGGTTTTTCTGTGTATCTAACCAACAGTATTAAACTTATCTTCAACTACACAACAATGAATTCATATAAACACGCCGGACTGGGCTCCGGTTTTTGTTGCGCTTCCGCAGTCAAACTTACTTCCGGGGGAACGCTGTTTCCTAACTTCAAAGTAAAAGCTCGACTCTGCAAACATGCCGCACAGCCGGCGCCATCTGTGGCCGCAGTTATTATGTTTTCGGGTTGTTCGTCTGTCCCTGCGTCCCATTCTCTGAGCGCGATATATCTCAGCAATGCCCTGAGGTAATGTCTTCAAATTTGACACAAACGTCCACTTGGTCTCAAGGATGAACTGATCAACAGTCAAAGGTCAAGGCAACTGCAACATCACGAAACATGTTTTTGGTCATAGCTCAAGAATTAATATACTATAACATAATGTAACAACAATTTAATTGAGTATATTTAATTTGATTTAAGTTCAATAAATTCAATTTAATGAGTGAATTTAACTTTAGCTAATTCAATTAGTTAATGTGATTGAGTAAACCCTGATTGATGCATAAATTTAACAAATTTTGGGCAATCTGATGGCAAAGTGGTTTGGTACATTTTGCTGTTAATAATACTTACAGTTATTAATAATTAGTAATAATGATGATTACTTAATTACTTAATAATAACTTGAGTAAAATATTCAATGCAGAGGTGTTACTTGTAATTGAGTGCTTTTATTCTGTGGTATTACTACTTTTACTTAAGGATATGATCTGAATACTTTCTCCAAGACTTGACTTGACCAGTGACTTTTTAATCAAAACAGTGAAAATCCCTAAATTAAATTTTAATATTTAAATTCAATTTAAAGACATCTAAGCTCAGTTTATACTACTGTTGCTCAGATAAATGTTTTTAATGTGGCACCGGATCAAAGAAAAGCAGAAGGTATGTTACTGCTAACTCCAGCAGGTGGCGACTTACAGATTGCTGTTCCTCCCAATTCACGGTAGTAGAAGAAGAATATTGGGCTGCTGTACATAAGTGTCCTCAGTGTCATGTGCTTGTCATGCTGTTTGCCTGTGTGTGGTTGTCTCTGGTTTGGTTATCTGTGTGTGGTGATTACGGACACGTCGGACAAACCGCCTCCTCGGTGAGTTATGAATGTTACAGAGAATCGTCTCTAAACCTCGTCATGTTTAAGATTTATTCAGGTCCGTCAGGAAACAGTCAAGCTAGTGATCGATGCTTTGTTCTTATGTCCGGTCTGGTTTTTCAAAATAAGACTCATTTAACTGTATTTAATTCTCAGTGGAAATCGTTTGGGAATGGATCACCTTTGTATTGGACCATAGTTTATATGAGCATAAAAACACACCCTTTTGCCAGACTAATAATTCTATTGAGTTCTTATTGATTGATTTTTCTTGATTAATCTTATTATTGTTTAGTCAGTAAAATGTCAGAAAAATGGTGAAAAGTTTCCAACCCCAGTTTCTCTGAGTCCCTAACATCTATCCTGATTTTCTGACCAACAGTCCAAAATCCAAAGATATTCAGTTTACAATTATGTAAAACAGGGAAAAGCAGAAAATCTTCATATTTGAGAGGCTGAAAAGAGCAGTTTTTGAATTTTTGCATGAAAAACGACTTACAATTAATGGCCTCCTTGGATTTTAGTGAGTCTAAGACGGTGTTCATTGAGAAATCTGGGCTAATCATGATGAAAAGAAGCACCACTTTCTTTGAGGGTGTTAGAACATGGAAAAGTCTTGTTGATGGGTATGGAGAGTGTCTGAGTGAATTTCAGCTGTAATGAAACAGTAATGTTTCAGTGTGCTCAGCACTGTGACTGTGTAGTTAATTCACTCTTGCAGGATCTGTAAAAAGGCACCAGACTTTGTGGATTAAAGGTATCTTTTGAATTAAATTTTTGTAAGAACATGAGTATAAAGAAAGAAAAAAAACTCTTACAGCTCAAGAATTGAGATTATCTTTTCAACAAACCTGCAAAATGGTTCAAAAAAGACTTGGATCATAACTGAAAGTGTCTTGGATAACACCACTGTATTGTTCTTTTAGGATTATCTTGTGACTCAAGATTGGGATTCCTTATTAAAAGAAGTGATGTTTCGACGAAGAGTACCTTTCACACAGATGGCCTTTGCCACACTGCTCGGAGTTGCTGGTGGTATTTATATCTACAGGCCTTATTTTGACCCGGTGCCGAAGAACTCAGGACAGCAAAATGAGGGCATGACAAAGAAACAGAATGAAACAGACAATAATTCATCACTCTCAGGAAATACTTCACAGACAGAAGCCAGAATAACTAAATGAGATGCTGCTGGACTGTCAGAGCTGCAGGCTGAACAAGAGACAAGACCAATATGGATAAATTCATGCTTCTTTGGAGTGGTCTGTGTGATTGTAAATGTACAGAATAAAATATTTGGTAGTTTGACTTGTCATTTGTTTATCATTATACATCCCTGTTTTCATGGATTTCCAAAGCTTAAAAAGGGAGGCACAAGCAATTTACACAAAACTCACATTTGTCCTGTTATTTGACATGAATGGCCAACACAAATTTCATATTTTTATGATATGAAATAGTGACAGTTACTCAACCTTGCAGTGTTGCCCACTAAAAAAATAATATTAAGGTAAAAAATTACAGCACAGTGAAAGTAATGTGAAAAAATGTCAGTAACCTTAGCTGCTAAATTGGCCATTGATTATAATATAGATCAAATATTATATTTTAATAACATTAGCTGCCAAATCTGGCCATTAAACATACATTTCCTATTAAAATGAAACCTTTTTAGAGCTATTGTTGGATTCACAATATCCAGTCTTGTAATCTCGCTGTTATACTGTAGGTTATGCTTCCCTCCGCCTCTCTTCTTTTCTCTCTTCACTGTCTACCTCCATCTCTGTTGACAAGGCCTGTGAAGTTTGTCCCCCATCACTTCCGCTGGAATCACAGTAAGAAGTGATCTCTGAATGGACTGTATGAACAAGAGGCATAATTAAAGCAAGATAAACTTGTTTCAGTGTCCATTAGGGCACCTGACTTATCTTATAACAGACTTGGAAAAACTGTGAACCTATCCTTTATTTAGTAAAAAGTACAATATTTCTCTTTGAACTGTGGTCAAGAAAAAGTATAAAGTGCCATGAAGTATAAATACACAAGTAAAGTACAAGTAGCCTACCTCCAATTTGTAATTAAGTAAGGTGGGTTTAGGTTGAGTGTGACACTTAAGTTAGTCAATTAGTATAGTTTACTGTGTGACTGAGAGTCAGTCAGTTCTAGTGTTATTGCTGAATATCCACCAGACAATAAACAGAGGTCTTGGTTTGTGAACTGTCACAGTTTTGGTCATGCTATCACTTTTAAAACAGCGTTACCCAGCAAACCTTATGATGAACATGCTGACATATAAAATGCGTTGCTCTTTTTAATCAATCCTCGGAAAATATACCAAAACATTGTATATACTGTACTTTAAATGGATTGTTTTGGATGGATATATATTCATGTAACATATGTTTACAATACAAGCAAACATACATAAACTTACATACATTTGTAGCCTATGGGCAAGACATATGTCAATATATGAAATTGTTCTAACTTCTAATAGGTTTGATATGTAAATTTTACATATGTGTTTTTATTCTATATGTAAATATATTTCATACATGAAAATTCAATATATGTACATATAGCCTTAAGCATTTGCATTTAGGAAGCTGCAGTGGTAGTTCATATTTAATGTTAATTGGCCCACAGGAAATGGGCACAATGCTAGGAAGAAAGGAGAGGGGGAAATCTGCTGTTCAATTATATATTATTTGGGCAAGAGCCCCTCTGAAGTAATTGTCTAATCTTTTTTTTCAAATTTGAATTAAATTCAATGTATTCATTTGAGTAAATATAGTTAGTTACTTCCCACCACTGTAGAGAGCACAATATATCCCAATGAAATGTAGTGGAGTAGCACGAAGGAGAAATACTCCAGTAACTGCAGCTCTGGTAGTCAGAGTGTTGTAACGCCCGTTTCCCCTTCAGTTATCCGGCTGTGAGTGATCACTCCGTGGGGAGGAGCTGTTCTCAACACACGTCAACCGCGGAAAGTAAAGGTGGTGTTCAGTGTTGATGAAGCCGCTCTCATGTCGACTAATGGCCCAAAGGAGACGGAGAAAGTGAAGTCCTCATTTACTCGCCTTTCCTAAAGTCTTCAGCGGTCACTTATTACTGCTTTTCCTAACACGACACAGCGCGCAGCAGCTACGCCCCGGGGGCCGGTGAGTACGAGATGTTCACTTGTGTTTCAGGAAATGTCAGTCGAAGAAAACCAGGCTGTAGCATCTGTCAGGAGTTAGCGACAGGCTGAAAACTTTGCTTTTAACTTCAATCCAGCCGATCGTCGGCTTCAATCTGTGCACAGACCCGCCTGTCCGACTGACCCTCACTTATATCAAAGCGCTTAGGAAAACATTTTTCCACCTGCCTTATCGTCTCCTCAGAGCTGTTGGCTTTTTCCACTTCTAGCTCAGTAACTGTTACACGCTGAGCACCCACGTCTCTCTCTTCAGGCAGGACTACGAGTTATTAACATGTGCCACTGTGTTGAGGCATGTTTGACACACGAGTAGGCTACAGTATGTCTGACAAAGGGACGCTGGGAAGTTGCATCCAATTTAGTCTTCAAGGCAGGATCCATAATAAGTTAATAAATAAATGAAAGAAAGAAAGAAAAAAGAAAGGTGATTATTTCTTGCCTAAGAGGTCACCAGACCAGCAGTGACAGCCACATGAGGACCAGCTGAGGGTCATTAGATTTTCAGTTTGTTTCAGTTAATCGATTTGAGTTTTGTTTGTGTTTCTCAGCATGGGAATGAGTTTTATAACGAGCCTCTTACTGCCTCTTTCTGCTGCTGCTGCTGCTGCTGCTCTGCTTGACTGTAGGTAAATGCTTGCAAGGTATTTTAATGACTAGATAGCTGACAGCTCTGGCAGCCAAAGGTTTTTTAAAGATGCTTGGTGTTCATCATGTTTTATTCTCGTACATCACCATAGCTCTGCACCCTTTTCATCTTGAGTAGTTAAGCTGAAGTTTATGTTCACATCCGGATTTTCCCAAGGAGCTGCCTGCCTCTCTGTTGGACAGCTGCCCAGGGTGGGTCTTCCACTTCTCCCTGACACATGATTAAAGCTGTCTTTTGTTTGCTGGTCTACATAGGTGGTAGTAGCCTGGCAAACACAGCTACTATGTCCACTCCCACTGCATGAGAAAATGTCAGCAGATATCAAGGTGCAGCTCAGAGTTTCTCTGTTTCCACTAAAACTTTATTTAAACATGAAAGAGTCACTGAGATTAAAAGTCTGTCTTGCCTGAATGTGTTTGCCAAGAGAGGCAATATAAGTTACAGATGGACAACATAAGACAGATACAGCATGAAATGCACTACAACCATCCTAGAGACAACCTGAATGGTACTTCCAACCAAAGTGTCATCTAAAACCACTGAAATACATAAGACCAGTCCTGCTGCCACTGATTCAGACAGTCCAACATGGTGTAGCCCCGTATACCCATAACTACACTACCTACAAGCATCATTTGTAGAACTGATATGTTTCTTTCTTTGAAGACTATGCAGTATTTTCTTTCAGCTTCACTGGCTGTTACAGATATGGATTTTAAGTCATGAAGTCATTGTGCAAATGCAGGTGCAACACGGGCAATTAAATAGGTTTTTAAACTTAAAATTAATAGGGATGCACTCAGGGCCAGATTAACACACTAGGGGGCCAAAATGCATTGTGGAAACCTACTGATCCCTGTTTCTCCCACTTTCTGCACATTGTATATTAGTAAGTAATTAGTTTGTGGTAATTTTCTAGACACCATATAACCACAATGTGTGCTGAAACTAAAAAGGCTTTAACACTAGATTTGAACTCAGGGCCTCTCTACAAGATGGGGCCTCGAGATTTGGTCAAAATGCAGATGTTTGAGGTCCCTGTCATTCCAATATGTTACGTCCTTTAGAGGTGCATTCAGTTGTACCAAACAGATTAAATGACCAGAAAGCCCATCGGTGAGCATGGAGCTTTTGGGCTTCTCATGGTCGCTGCAGGTGGCTGCTTTAACCAGTTGGTAATATAATTGACATTGGCATATAATTGGGTCATCTGCACTGATACTGACCTACTGCTACTACTGGCATTAGATGATGTCATAGTTGTTAAAATGACTGTATTAAATGGCATACTCCCATTAAAAAGAAAAAAAGTACTGGTTTGGTAGATGAAAAAAAAGAAATATTGATTTAGCTTTTTTAAAGCTGATATTGTCTCTCACAACATATGACGGGATGTAGTATATCTTACTGTATATATAGCCCAGTAAAAGATAAAATATTGTTTTTGTTGTTGTTGATGACACCAGTTAATTTTGTTAAGATATGCGTCACAGTCAGGTTTGGATTGCTATTTACACATATCAGCCACAATATTAAAACCAGTCACTGGTGTTAATCTCTGATCAGTGTAAATGCTGCTTGTAAATACTTGTAAATGCACCTTTTGTGTAAAGTGGTAATTAGGATAATACGTGTTCTTTCTCATTGCTTTCTGCTGTAAGTGTTTTCTTGCCTTACACAACGCAAGATCATACTCTGCCATCAGAGCTCACTTCCTTTTTACAGCTGTTATAGGACTGGGAAGTGCAGTATGAATAGGAAATGGCCTTGTAATTTTAGATATTTGCACAGCTATTTGTATTAGGCATACTATATTATGTATGAGCATTTAGTGTCTTTTCATTATAGTACTCGCTAACATTCACGTTTTCACACAGGGCTCAGTAAGGAGGTCTCTGATTAGCCTGATAATAGTCTACAGAAATGTGCAGACACAATCTATATCTCCAGCTGTGTGGTTTTGCTTGACTGTCACTTCTGTGACCTGTTTTTACTGAACCACACATCATCTAGTGAGTCAAGTTTTTTTGTCAGGGTTTTTAATGATGATGCCAGAAACCTGGGTATAAAAATAATTCATACGTGCTGATTAATTTGGCCCTTAGCTGTCAGATCGCATCGGACCTAAGCTCTAAAGAATTCTCTTACGAGTATTGATTCAACTTTATGGCCAGTTAGGAGGTCTGTCATTGTTGATATAAATGGGGTGGGCAAAATCTTACAAACACGGTCAAATATAACTCTATACAGTTCAACAGCACCACAAACTACATTCTGCAGAGTGCTCATGAACATGAATCAGCACCTTTCTAAAACAGTAACAACAACACTGAACATTAAAACCTCCACAAATACTGCAGGGCTGTTGTGTAAGACTGCTATAGTTTTAGCTTGGGGTACCTAATAAATTGGCTCAATGCACTGTATATTGCGCCAACAGGGCCTTCGAACGGAAGATCAGAGGAAAGTGGGGTAAGGAAAGATGAAAAGTGACAGAAGTTTTGAGTTTTCAGATAGTTAGTGTTCTTGCTCACGTGTTAATTTAAAGACGTGCATGATGTGGTCTGAGGAACGTGGTTTTCATCGACCAACATAAAGCTGCTTAACAGTTTATTGTGTATATATACAGTATATATATATATATATTATGTCAGTGCTTATGGAGGCTTTTTATAGCAAACATGAGGACATCAACATGATGAACCTAAAGGGATTTTGTTTAGAATTAAAGAAATGTCATACACAAATGATCATTTCATCAATCAGGAGTTTCCAGATTTGGTATAATATCTCTTAATGAACAAGCTCATCGGCCCGAATCTTCCAAAATCTAGTAGCTTTTAATGGAAAGACCTATGGCTTTTAAAAGTGATAAATAAAGTCTTTTAAATAAAGTATTCCTCTGTCAAAACAGGTGGACTTCATAGTTGTAGGGTTCAGTGGTCTTAGCTCAGTGCTTGAAAAAAAATGTTTCCATCCCAGGGCATTTATCGTGGATCTTGATTTTGCACAAGACCATAAGCTGCTTATGTTTCCAGATGAAAGGTTCAGGGGGGTTACACTGAAAGAATGTAAGACTTGTCTGAATACCTTCTACGCAGTGGTCATATGATGCATCCACACTTTCTCTTGATTATTTTGACTGGAATTAGTCGACCATTACAAACGAGAATGTTACATCCAGGAGGTTTTGTAGGGCGCTTCTCATTCTCACTGTGTAAGTGTAATCTGTGTAAGGAAATCTGTACTAATACACTTTCAAAATGATTTGAACCTATACTTCCAAAATGTATAGAACAAATACTACCTCTATTAATTTGTGTACAGATGTTATAACTTATAACTGTAATAAGAGAACAGAAACGCATGTGTTGTCTGTTTCTCCTGTTACTTTGAAAGTGTGTAGGGAAAAATGTAGGAAATGAAAGTCAGGCCATGGTCCAATATCTATAGAGGTACTTAGCAAGTATGCACAGTTAATACTTGGTAAGATAAGCCTATATGGTGTCACTGATGCCTTTTCACTGGTCCATTAGATTATAGATAAACTGATTTCACACAAAAAAAAACCTGTTGCATCACTTGTTGCATTTTGTAATTTAATATATCATGGCTAGCTTCTTGTCAGAGCTCAATCGTGTCATCTGGGAGATTAAAAAAACAAAGAAATGGCACATTATTTTGAGATTAATTTCTCTGCCAAATAGTGTGATTGATGGTTGACTGAATTGTTTTGTTTGTGTGTTTCAGAAATTAAGGTCTCACTATGTCTGATGGGGAGTATGATTACCTCATCAAATTCCTGGCCCTCGGTGATTCTGGTGTGGGAAAAACAAGCTTCCTCTACCAATACACAGATGGAAAGTTTAACTCCAAGTTCATCACTACAGTCGGGATAGACTTCAGAGAAAAACGAGTGGTAAGTTTAGTCGGTTTTGAATAAAGTGGTACACTTTTCTCAAGACGGCAATGAAATTGTTGGGATTTCCTTCATTCAGTTCTTCAGTAAAAGCACAACATGGATTTTTAGGCTCGACTCTTCTGATTTGACTTTTCCTTGAGTGTGCTACAAACACTTATGGCTGCCTTATTAGGAGCTTAAATACATTCCCACACCATTAAGTAACACTTGTGTAACAAAAGACTACTGATGAATATTGCAACAGAAATCTGAGTAATGACTAATGTTGGTGCACAGCGACAGCACCCTCCTTAAGAATAAACACTTCATACAGTTGGCAAACAGCTGAACAGTGTTCATGTTTACTCAATATTTCCTCTTTAGCGCTGCTGACCTCTGGCTCCAAGAATATGCTTGAGTAATTGTTTTATCATGGTTATACTGGGCATTCGGTCAGTTATGTTAAGTTATTGAATGTCCATCATTGCTACTATCTCTTTATAAGATGTGTTTTCATAACTTCTGATTGAAATATAAAGATGATTTGAAAAATTGCATCAACTGTAAAACTTTCACTTACAGAGTAGCTTTTGTAAATGTCACAAATAGTCACCAGGGTTAAAGCACAATAAGTAACATAATGTGTCTTCAGACAACCCAGAGCTGTGCTGCATGTCTGGTGGCAGGTAAGTGTGTGTTGCAATTCCCCAAAGTGATGCAGTGTTGACAGAGTTCAAAGAAAAAATGGTGATAATTTTTCAATGAAATGTGAAATACATTTTACTTAATTCTGGGCCCTTTATTGCAGTTACTTCCTAAACTGTTGGCTGAAACCTGAATATCACAGGCATGTTTCTGCAAGCAGCTGGCACCTGGCTTACCAGGAAACACCAGATTAATACATGGATGGACGGATTCAAACTGTTTTGAATAACAGTCGGGCATGTTAAATCTTTTCACACCACTGAAGTGCAAGATTTGTATTTGACGTACTGCTGGGGGAATAAAGATATAATGCAGAATACAATGTGTATGTAGGTATTGATTTTAATGGTGATTGCTGGCATAGAAATATACATTATTTTTCCATTTACAGCATGCTCTCTCTCACACACACACACACACAGTACATGGCTCACACATAGATATAGAAAATACAAATTAACATTGGCTTTAAATGGTTGAGGTTTATAAAGTCAGAGTTGCCTTAAATCTATTTTCATTTTGTGGCATAAAGATTTTCAGAGTTTCTGGCCACCGCACCTCGACAGTGGGCTGAGCACAGTCTCTCCAGTGAGAACCATCAATAATACTACCTAAGTATCCAGAGCCACTGAGTAGTTTGAGGCCTGGCTGTTGGTTGCTCTCCTCATAGACTGCTCAACAACTTTCAGCACACCTATTTAGATCATTTATTTAACTAGAGTAGCAGGATGGATGATGCAAAGTATGCCTGTTCATTCTTGTCACACTACGCTCTAATTTACAAATATCTTCTGTCAGGCCGTCAGTAACAACAACCCATGTTCCTGAATATGTCCGATCTGGACTGAGATGGGATGTTTTGGGCTTTGTTTTATAGTTTGTACTTAAATGTAGCGCAGAGAACATCCAGTAAGTTTGACATCACTTGTCTCTGTTTCACTCAGGTCTACAAATCAACAGGTCCTGATGGATCTTCAGGTAAAGGACAGAAAATCCACATGCAGCTGTGGGACACTGCAGGACAAGAGAGGTACATGAAGTACTTCAACTAAAACTTTGTCACCTTTCTGAAACCTGGACTTCTCCTCAGTTGTTTTTAAATATGTCTCTACCATAATTAGTTCTATTTCTCATGAAGTGTTTTTTTTCCTGGATAATTTCAGGTTTCGGAGTTTGACGACTGCGTTCTTCAGAGATGCAATGGGTTTCCTCCTGCTGTTTGACCTCACAAATGAGCAAAGTTTCCTCAACGTCAGAAACTGGATGAGTATGTCGTCTGTTGTATCATGCAAAGTGGACATTCTCAGTCATTAAAACCGATGATTCTATCGATAATCAACACAGGAATCATTTGATTAAGACAAGTACAAGTGCACAGGACTTTTAATGATATTACATTTCTTGTTACTTATATGTGCACAAAAGCTTTTTGTACGTGGCTCATGTAGAATTGACACTAAATTGTTGTTAGATCCGAAATATTGTGTGATTAAGTGTGTAATCTTCCAGTTATTAATAATTCTTTCTCTGCTAATTTTATTCTGTCCCGGGCTGCTGCAACGTCTGTGCTCACATTTCTTATTTCAGGCCCCTATAACTTATTAGTGACAGCGGGATATCCTTCTCACAAGTAAAGATAAATATATAAACAACAAATCGCTGAATGAATGTCTTTCAGGTCAGTTACAGATTCACGCATACTGCGAAAATCCAGACATCGTTCTGTGTGGCAACAAATGTGACCTGGCAGATCAGAGAGCAGTCAGTGAAGAAGAGGCCCGTGAGCTGGCAGAGAAGTACGGGTATGTCCCAGTTTTGAATCATCTGTACATGAACCTCTCCCTCAAACATTTGTCAAGAAGGCAGTGGCTGCATTGTTTGCCAAAGTCTGTGTCAGGAGAACTGAGAACTAAATTAGTCCTCCTTGAAAAGCAAATATTTGCGCACGTTTAAAATATCTTGCTCTGGACCTATTAGACACACCTTTACTAAAAACACAGATATTATAGTGGATGTTTGCCCATATATATATATATAAAACATAATATGACATAACATACCATGTCATCCAAAGCCGTCTCTGCACATAACACATTGGGTGACATGCTTGGTGGTTCATTTTGAGTTGATCCACCCCCAAACCCCCCCTCCCAACATACCAAATGTGTATTAATCTGCAGCTGAAGATAGTCCCCCAAAAATGCTCTGATACATACTAAAGGTTTGAGGTTTAAAAACTAGTCTCCTGGAATTTCCTGAGCCCTTTTAAAAATATATGTTTGAGAACCATTTTCTTCCTCTGTAGGAATTAATGTTTTTAGACGGACTAAAGTTTGTTGGTTTTTGGACTTTTAATGGGCCCAGCTGAAAGTTAGAAAAACATAACATTTCTCCAGCCACGCCCTTTAAGGTCCTTTTTGTCTCTTAACCCAAAGATTTGTGTTATGTTGCAATTGGTATCAGTGGTCTGTGATCCTGGTTTTAAAACAGCTATTTTCCTCCATGCAGAGTCCCATACTTTGAGACAAGTGCTGCAAATGGGCAGAACGTGAACCAAGCTGTGGACGTCCTGCTGGATCTTATCATGAAGAGGATGGAACGATGCGTTGACAAGTCCTGGATCCCTGATGGGACCGTCCGAGTCAATGGACCCACCAACCCCGACATCTCGGAGAGCTCAGACAGGAGCAAATGTGCATGTTAGAATGATGAGGAGCTGTTTTATTTACATATGTGTGTCTATAATACTGGTGAAAAAAATAGGAAGACAACCAAGTTCAATGTTTCACAAAGTGGGAGTTTATATATTGTTTCTGTGTTAGGCAAAACTTAACATTAATTTGTGTCCATTGCCTCACAGACCTTGTATACTTTTATTGACATGCTTTATTATTTGTCAGTACAGATTTAAGTACCTTTTGAATATGGACATTTTCATTAGGATTAATACCATGGGTGTTTTGAATAATTAATTCATTTTGATTGTGAGTATGGGATATTTATTTCTTATGATGCCTAGCTGAAATATCCAACTCTGCTCATCAGTTGAACATGCTGATCATATTTGCAGGTATAAACTTTACGCTCCATGTTGCAGCAAAGCGGGCTGCCCTGCCAGGTGTGCTATAAATATGCTGTTAATACTTTCTGTGAGGTTAGCGTAGATTCACTCATCTAAACTCAAGAAAGAAGCCACCTTTATTTGTATTCCTACAGCCAGATAGTCGTTGACTGTTATACCTGCAGTCACTGTTTGTTGGTGGAGAGGAATTGCCTATGATTGTAGTTTTAGGAAACTTTATGTAACCAGTTATGTACTACTGATGCTCCGTTGAATGTGCAGCTGAATACTGCTATCTCAGCTGTGCCACAGCCACAGTGTCTATCCTGCATAAGCTAGATGGACACTCTATGCCTACTGTATTTCATTTTCCACATCAGTACTTGGGCTTTTTTGCCTGCATAACATGAATTTTGTAACACAGTTAGACTAAGTCATCTACACTTCATTATGTACAGCGACAGATTTGCCACTAATTACAAAAATGAATGCTCCGTAGTTTGATAAGGGGAATAAATATGTTCTGAAAAGCAATAGTGAAAACTGAACAGTAAACCAGGAACCCAGGTAATTCAGTTAATTCATCCTGCCGAATAAAAAATCCATTCAACAAATAAAAACATAAATAGAATTTAAAATTCTCTTAATATATTTTAAACAAAGAAATGTAAAGTCAAAATCTTATTGTAGCTTTTGTGCATATTTTTTACTGTTTTGAGCAAAATGTATTTCTAGACTTAGATTGACCATTTAAACTAAACTATGAGTTTTGTGGACCGTTCACTCACTTGTATTTTAGCTCAGAGCTGCAGGTTCTATAGTGCTCTGTAGTGGACGATCTTTGCTAACATTATAAAAAATTATAAAGAAACTTTTATAAAATAAAACATTAACCTTCAGGGAAATTTAGCTGAGGTGCTATTTCACACAGCAAATGCTATATATTTAATGAGTCTGGCTACTGTTTAGGTTGTGACCTACTCACTAAATGTATCATAAGTCAAGATACACTGGACTAAATAAATGTATATAGAAACCTTTATTCAGTTGCAAGATGCAGTGAAAAGAGGTTTTAGATACAAGAGTATTGCTACATTATTTAATTCCCTAACCCTCAGAACATTATTAGATGGAAAGTGTTTGTTTCAGGTATTAATGTGACCATGTTAACTAGGCAATACACAGTACAGTTGCCTGTCCAATCTATTGATTTGGATTTCGATAGATTTTGTATTAGCAAGTTTTATAAGTAAGGCAATAAGGTTGGGCCTTCACTTCACTTTACTGTATGGGATGCATTTAAAATCCCAGCGTTCATCCCTTTAGATCAGTGTATAACGCCACTGATATTTTATATTTTACAAGATGGTGTATTTACACTTAATAAAACACTGAAGTGGCCTTGTGAGAATATTTATCCAGACTGTATTTACTGTAGTTTCATGCACAAATACACATTGTTTGTATTACTCTGTTTTTTCTGTTAAAAGGGTGAATGTGATGTTTTAGTTAAGACACAAATATATTTTTCCTCTCACTGTTTCAATGCACAAATTAAAATTTTTGAAAATCTATCACTGAAATTGAATTTGATCATATTAGTTAAGACTAAACTGAAATATTTCATATTTCAATTGTGCCACAAAATACAAAATAAACTCATGTAAATTATGACCAAAAATAAACATTTTTATTTATGTATTCCTTGAAGCAATGTCTCATTTTTATATATATGCGTTCTGAAAATGTGGCTAAGGGCTTGTGCATAAGTGCAGATGTTGTCCAGTTCTATTTACAGCCACTATTATTCTATAGTGTCGGTTCTAGCTTGTATGGTGCCCTGGGCAATTACCCCCTTCAGTCCCCCCACCAACTGCTCGTTAATGCAAATATCTAATAGGCCAATCACATGGCAGGAACTCAATGCATTTAGGCATTTAGACATGGTAAAGACAATCTGCTGCTAACCCTAACCCTAAGCATCAGAATGGGGAAGAAAGGTGATTTAAGTGACTTTGAAGGTGGCATGGTTGTTGGTGCCAGACGGCCAGTCTGAGTATTTCAGAAACTGCTGATCTACTGGGAATTTCACGCACAACCATCTCTAGGGTTTAAAGACGATGGTCCGAAAAAGAGAAAATATCCAGTGAGCAGCAGTGCTCTGGGCGAAAATGCCTTGTTGATGCCAGAGGTCGGAGGTCAGAGGAGAATGGCCAGACTGGTTGGAGCTGATAGGAAGGGAACAGTAACTCAAATAACCACTCCTTACAACCGAGGTATCCAGAAGAGCATCTCTGAACACACAACACATTGAACCATGAAGCACATGGGCTACAGCAGCAGAAGACCACACCAGGTGCCACTCCTGTCAGCCAAGAACAGGACACTGAGGCTACAAAAGAAGATTTAAAAAACGTTGCTTGGTCTGATGAGTCTTGATTTCTGCTGCAACATTCGGATGGGATGGTAAGGACAGACTTTGGCGTAAATTACATGAAAGCATGGATCCATCCTGCCTTGTACCAATGGTTCAGGCGGGTGGTGGTGATGTAATGGTGTGGGGGTTATTTTCTTGGCACACTTTGGGCCCCAAATGAGCATCATTTAAACACCACAGCCTACCTGAGTATTGTTGTTGACCATGTCCATCCCCTTATGACCACAGTGTCACAAAGCTCAAATCATTTCAAACTGGTTTCTTGAACAGATGGCCTCCACAGTCACCAGATCTCAATCCAAAAGAGGACCTTTGGGATGTGGTGGAACAGCAGATTTGCATCACGGATGTACAGCCGACAAATCTGCAGCAACTGTGTGATGCTATCATGTCAATATGGACCAAAACATCTGAGGAATGTTTCCAGCACCTTGTTGAATATATGCCAGAAAGAATTAAGGCAGTTCTGAAGGCAAAAGGGGGTCCAACCCAGTACTAGGTGTACCTAATAAAGAGGCCGGTGAGTGCATATATGTGTATGTATATATGTATATATACACACACGTCACATTTGAGTGACTGAACTGAACCCAAATGCAGCCCAGCAAAAAGGGGGTTGGTGGGAAAAGGTCTTTTAATAACAAAAAGTGACTAACTTACAGAACTCAAAATCAAAAAATGGAGGCAAAACCCAGGAACAAAACTGAAACACTAGGGAAACTAATCAGGAGAGAAAAGCAGGCGTAAAACACAAGCAAAAACAGAAAATACAAAAACACCGTAAACACAGGAGCATGAGCCATGAAAACAAGACAAATTGACAGACAAGGGGGAGCACAGAGACTAAATAGACACAAGGGAGGCAAGGGTGATTAAACACAGGTGAAACACATTAGGGCGGGGCAAACAATCAACAAGGAGGGAAAGAGGACAAAGACAGGAAGTCAAAACATCAAGGGACACACAAGGAAACTAATTACAAAATAAAACAGGAAATGACAAAAGTCCAAACACAATCTCAAATATAAAATGTCTGTCATGGCAACCATGACATATGACTTTTTTATGCCATACTATAGTGACGTTTTTTGATATTTTTATGTCTTACTATACTATGACTTTTTTCCCCTTACTATAGTATGACCTTTTATACCTTGCCATACTATGCTGTTTTCATGCCTTTCTATACTATGGATTTGTGATGGGGTGGCACGGTGGTACAGTTGCTAGAGCTGCTAGAACAGCTAAAGTTGTGGGCTTGAATCCATTCTTTGTGGAGTTTCCATTTTCTCCCTCTGCTTGCATGGGTTTTGCCCGGGTAATCCAAAGACATGCGCTTAGGTTAACTGGTGACGCCGATGTCTTAGTATACAGTGACATTCTATGCCTTACTACTATGACATTTCTATGACATTTTTATGCCTTACTTTAATATGACTTTTTATGCCATACTATACTATGATGTTTATTGACATTTTTATGAGATACTATAGTGTGACTTTACGTTTTTTAATTTTTTTTTGACATACTATAATATGACTTTTTATGCCGTACTAGTGACGTTTTTTGACATTTTTATGAAATACTATACTATGACGTTTTTTTTTTTGTTTGTTTTTTTTTTACATTTTAAGCCTTACAATACTACGACTTTTTATGCCACGATATACTATGACGTTTTTTTTATATTTTATTTTTTTTATATTTTGCCTTACTATAATATGACGTTTTTGGCCTAGGGCCATTCTTTGTGGAGCTTGCATGTCATCCCTCTGCCTGCATGACTTTTGTCCGGGTACTGTGGCTTCCTCCCACAAATCCAAAGACATGCACATTACTGCACATTACCGACTCCAGTCTCTTAGTATACTATTTTTATGCCATACTTTACTATTCATACATACTATCTACTTGATGTTTTTATGACATTTTGATGATATTATACTAAGACGTTATTTCACATTTTCAGGCTTTATTATATACTATGACGTTTTTTGACATTTTCATGCCTTACTATACCATGTCCAAGTCAGGTTTCCTCCCGTAATCCAAAAACATATACATTAGGGTAATACTACGACTTTTTTATGCCTTTCAATCCTATGACGTCTTTATGAATTATTATACTATGAAGTTTTCATGCCTTGTATTCTTTGTACTCATTGTAAAATGCATCTTAATTGAAACAACATGCTTACTAAAATTTTATATTTTTGTATATGATTTTCTTAAAAATTTCTTCTTCAGACGGGTGGAAAGTTTTTTCAAAACTCCGTCTGTTTAAAAGTAAATGTTGGGAAGATATTCACAAATATTTTTAATTTATATGTTAATTAATTAAATGTATTCACAGATTTTTTTTTTAAATTTTATTTTCGTTTGTGTATTTGCAAATCCGTTTGATATTTGCAAGATATTTTAGTGAATTTGCAAATATATTTTTTTATTTTTGGAAGGTGTTTTATATCATTATTATTATCATTATTATTATTATTAATATTATTGTTAATATTATATTTATATTACAAATCTACCTCCATACATCACTGATTTATGTATAAAACCCATAACTGCAAGCGCATTTTATTTACGCGTTTTTACAAATTTATATAAATTGTAAAGCAGTGACTATTTTCTTTAGGTCGTCCTGGATATGTCCACACTTTAGCTGTAGACCATTTGCAGTCAATTAGTTTTGTCTGTATACTGTGATGTCCCACAGGTGAAAGACTCATGACAGTAACTGCAATAGTTTTACACCATGCTTTCATGTTGTCACTTTACAAAACGTGTTGAGTCCATTCTTAATTCAGACTGGATCTTCCTCACATCATCATTCGTGGAAAAATCTGTTTTTCTGCTGATTAAAACTTTCAAGAGAGAGAACTTGGCAGCAATATATATACTATACTATACTCCTGCAGGGGGCAGCACCTGCCCTGCACCGCTCCAATGACAGGAGCGTGTATCCGGTGAAGAAGAAGACGCACTAACCCAAATATTCTCTATACAGTTTCTCAACTGTCTGTGACTGAACCCAACTTCCTGGACGGTGGAGGAGTACTGGGGAAGGTAACATAGACTCTAAATTTGTTTTGATAAATTTTGTAATTCATTAAGAAATATATTTTTTGCGCGAGTTTCAGTTAGAGCCAAGGCTCAAACCCAGCAACACCACCGTACTTGGAGCTAAAACCCAGTAGCTATGTTTGAAAATCTTGAGAAAGTTTCCAGCTAGCTAGCTAAGGTTTAACTCTTTCAACTTCATTGTTTTTTCTAAACGGAAATTACGCACAGATTGAAATAATGCAGTGTAAAAAAAAACACATGCATAACCTTTAGCCCCACTTGTGTTTTGTAACCTTTCTTTTATTTGTATTTGTTGTATGTCCACCACAGTAGCTGGCTAAAGTTACCTTCACAAGCTGTTCAATAATTTTAAATTGAAGTTACTCGACTGACATGAGAGCAGATTGTTGCAGATAAATTGTTTATAGATTGACAGCTGTTATGATAATCACTGTTGTATGACAAATTATAAGGCACTTTGCATTGCAATAATAGCTGGTTTGTTTGTGTATTTGTCTTGTGAAGTCTGTGGTTTCACCTGTGTGGATGCATACACAGGATTACCCCCAGAGAGAGACTAGATAAATGTATAATGAAGTGTGTGTTTACTCTTGCAGAATGCCTTTCCGTTTCTGCCCCCAGTGTGGGACAAAGTTGCAGCCTGATTTCAGATTTTGTCCTTCCTGTGGGGAGAAGCTTCCCTGTCTGAATGAATCTGAAGCTGTGAACTTGGATTCTTTTTCAAGTCTCTCTCCAGTGAGAAGTGATGAAGTAGCAAGATCTTGCGAGCCCACTGAAGGCAAAGGTAAATATCCTGGCAATATTTTATCAGGAGTTACTTGGTGTTATTTATAGATTTTTAATTGTTAATCTTTGGAGGTGTGAATTTTCTTTCCATACAGACCACGTATACATCACAACAACTCCAATTACGACTCGTCCTGCACTTCGAAAGACTCGTAACTCCCTTCGCCTGGACAGGGAAGTTAAATTCAACATTAAAGATGCCACCCCACCTGTGGTGCCCTCAATTAATCCTGTCAGAGATGACCAGGTTGAAGGTAATTA